AGGACAGTGATAGCTATAGTAGGCATGGCAATACATGAGGCCAGGGGTCAATGGGGAATATAAGTGATATAGATCGGCAATCAGTTGGATGGGAACATGGGGACCCTTAAAGCACATGGGGTTGATAGAGACAGCTACGTGAAGAGTTGGTGGGAGGGTGAGGGGGATATTGACATTCAGTTGGAGCCTGGAATTTACTCAGTTGCATGACCTGGGTAGTGTGCATTTTCCACGAAATGTCAACTGCACAATATGGATGGAAATTGCCTGCGACCATATTCAGAGTGGGCAGAGCAAAGTTATTTAGGTTTGCAGGGGTAGAGTAGACACATTTTCACTACAAGACAGTTTCAATATTAACTGAGAATCCATCCCTAATGGAGTACATGTTTCCTCGTAAGGCACACAGGTAGTATGAATCTGTCTCCAAAGACATGTGCACTCATGATTGATCTCACAGTCTCACCCATAAAGCAGCCCTAAGTGTGAACCATGAACACAGGCAAGGACCTATTTACAGAGCATTCACATCAATGGTGGATTCAGTGATCTTCTCACTACAGTGTTGGCTTGGCTGCACTTGTAAACATTAGTGATGAATGATTTGTGAAATTTATTGCTATTCAAGATACTTCTCAGACATGAGCAAAACCATGCAACTATAGAGTCTATAACAGTGTGGAGCTGAAGGAACACAGCAGGCCTGGCAGCATCGGAGGAGCCGGAAAGTTGACGTTTCGGGTTGGGACCCTTCTTCAGAAATGGGCAGGGGGAAGGGAGCTGGGAAATAAATAGAGGAGGGGTGGGGCTGGGCAAGGTAGGTGGAATGGTGATAGGTGAGTGTAGGTAGGGAGCGGTGGGGATTGGTCAGTAGGACGGGTGGGGTGGACAGGTGGGAGAGAAGATGGACAGGTAGTATCAGGTGAAGGAGACAGGGATGAGAGGGAAGTTTGGACACGGGATGAGGCTGGGGATGGGGAGATTTTAAAACTAGTGAATTCCATGTTTAGGCCATCAGGCTGTAGGCTCCCAAGGGAGAATATGAGATGTTGCTCTTCCAGTTTGTATGTGGTGTTACTGTGGCACTGGAGGAGGCCTAGGATGGACCTGTCACCCAGGGAGTGGGAGAGGGAGTTAAAATCGTTGGCGACCGGAAAGACAACACCTTCTTTCCTTGAGATACAGTAAAATGGCTGAATAAAAAGACACTCCAGCCATCCACCATCTAACTCTGTAAACTGGGAGGTATCCAACTAAAACTAAAAGGAACAGTAACTGTGAGACTGTAATATAAAGATAGAGTATTCATTAAGTTATTATATGTGATTAAAATATTCTATACTGAGCTTTCATTGATCTCAAACTAATTTACAAGGTTGGTGAAGCGAACAGCTGGGAAAATCGAGATGGATTCAGAATAGCATTCTTATATTTGCACTGTGATCTATGGAAGCGAAAGATAGTTTACCACATAACAAAAAAATCCAATGCTTAGCCAATTTGCTTGATCATACCTAGAAAAAGTATGCATCCCCTTTTGAACGAAATGCAGCACATAATTGAGACAACAATTCACCAAGGAATGATTTCACCAGTGACAAAGCCAACCGGTGTTCTACAATGATGCCAGTTCCAAAACTGAATTAATTACTAATTTGTGTGAATATTACACAACTAAATAAAGATGCAAAGAAATCCACTCAATGGCATCAATGAATGGCAAAGCTAGCCAACAGCACTATTTTCACCAAATGCAATGCCAATTGTATTTTCTAGCATTTCCCACTGCATGAGAAAAATAGACTCTTAATAACGGTCATCACATTTGAACAGTATGACTGTAACCATTTACCTATCAGCATTACTTTTGCATCTGAAATATTCCAAAGGACAATGGCAAACATCTCTTAATGTGTAAAAGACACTATTTTCCGCACAGATGATATTCTAATTGTTGTTTCAACCAAAACAGAACACAACAAAATGATTAGAGCAGTACTGAAAACAGGAAATAAGACTAACGTTAAACAAAAAATGTGAGATCTCACAACCTATCATCAAGTTCTTGGGGCATCTTGTTCAAGCAACAGGCATTACAGCAGACTCGCAGAAGACCAGAACAGTCAAAGAGTCTCTTTCACCAAAAAACATCGTGGACTTACAGTGGTTCAAGGGAACAGTCAAACAAATAACAAATGTTTACAACATCTTTCACAAATAAATCAAACATTGATACAACTCCTCATACAGGAGAAATGAAAATTTGCATGTTCTTTGAGAAAATAGAGGGAATGCTTCTCATTATAAGATTCTTTCTCATTATGACCCTGAACCATCAGCCATTTAAGTAAACAATGCATCAAATTGGACCAGTGCTATCCCAATTCCAGAAAGATGGAAGATGAAGGCTAGTCTACTGTGCTCTCGTTTGCTTACAGAAACAGAAGAAAGATACACTGTGATCAAAAACCAATCACTAACATGCAAAAAAAATTCTGATTATGTTCTACAAATGCAATTTACCATAGAAGAAGACCATAAGTCTTTGGTAGCATTGTTGAAATCCAACAAAATTACAAAACTGCCACTAAGGATGCAAAGATCAGTGAGATATGACTCCACAGTAGAATACATTTAGTGATAGCAACAAACCACAGTAAATACATTGTCAAGTATGTCAGTTGAACAACCAAAGCAAGGGGACAAAAACTTTATCAAAGGAAAGAAGTGTTCATATATGAAGATGTTTTCATATATTTGATTATCGAGTACTTGCCTGCAACAGCTATGAAGCTACATCTGCAGAATAATGACAAAGGTGGTGAAATTTTGTTCACACAATAAACATGTTCTGCTTTGAATTGAGGGAAGATATAGAATAAAGGGCTAATAATCAAAAATGTAAGCCATGAGTTACCAATGGCCAATGCTGGCATTTATTGACCATCCCTAGTTGCCTTTTGAGAAGGTAACAGTGAGCTGCATTCTTGAACTGCTGCATTTGCTGTAGGTGCATCCATAATACTGTTAAGAGAGAGAGAGTTCTTGGATGTTGACCCAGCAACACTGAAACAATGGTGATGTACTTACACGACAGGGTTGTGAGTGTTTTGAGGGAAACTTGCAGATGGTGGTGTTTCCTTGTCCTTTTACAAGGTAGTTGGTGTGGCTTTGGAAGAAGTTTAAGGAGCCTTGGTAAATTTCTGCAGGGCATTTTGTACATGTGCAGCAGTAGTAGGGGTGGGAATGAATGGGGTGTGATGTCGATCAAACAAGCTGCTTTGACCTGGATGGTGTCAAGCTTCTGGAATGTTGTTGGAGTGTTTACCAACCAATCAAGTAGCATCTTAAAGCACCTACCCCCAACCTCTCAGGCTGCAATGATTCAAGGTAGTTGTTCATCACAACCTTTTTGGGGCAATTAAGGATACTGATCTAGTCTATGATGCCCACATCTTGTGAACAAATATAAAAAGTTCTTCCATAAACATCAATAATTAGCAACAGAGAGCTCTTAGCTTCTGTTCTCCACCAACTCTAACTCCTCAGTGCATAGTATTTAGTCAGTCAGCAGAAACCTTGCATAATGGAGTAGCCTTCATCTCAAAGAAGTCTACACTCATTGACAGTAGGCCTAAAACAAAAAAATGGCAGTTGCCCTTAATTTACTAAAGAAGATTGCATGAGAGTTATTTGAACAAATTTACAAATGCATACGGTTTAGAATTACACTTATTAGTCCAAGTGCACTTCTAAATAGCAGTCAATCACGATGTGCTCGCACTTTATGCATTTTTCTTGCGGCTTACCTGCATAATTTCTCAACCCACATCTTGACTTTACACAAACACATGATTTAAGAACAGGAATAGGCATTTTGGCTGCTGGAGCCTGTTCCACTATTTGATAAGATCATGGCTCATCTAATTGTTGCCCTAATGCTACTCCCCCCATATTCCTTAAATCCCTTGTCAAACAAGAATGTATCTCAATTATAAATAATTACAAAATGTTCAATGACCCTATCTCCAGTCCTCTCTAATGAGAAGAATGCCACAAACAATCCTCTGAGACAAAGGAAAATTCTCCTCTTCTCTATCTTAATCAAGTCCCCTTATTTTTAAATTGTCCCCCCTACTTCCGATGTCTCCTAAAGGAGGTAACATTCTCTCAATATCTATCTTGTCCCCTACGTATCCTATATGTTTCAATCTCTCATTCTTCTAAGTACCAATGGATACAGGTCCAACTTGTTGAACCTTTTCACATCAGTTCATTCCAAGAATCAGTCAATGAAACTTTCTCTGAACTGCTTCTATGTACTGTAGCTATAATCCTACTTGTGTTTACATATTCATAAATTATTTAACTTCGTGCAGAAAATTTTCATGTTATAATAAGTCGCAATTTACCTTCAGTGGAGTCTTCCTTCCTCAGATGACTAGGTTGCTGCAAATGTTCAAGGTAATAGACTAATTCTAATGCAACCAGGAGAAGAATATAGTGGAACTGGTCACAAATCTTTAGATTGCTTGGTTTTATAAATGTATCCAAAGCTTTGGGCTGTTTGGTTTCTCAACTATGATATTTTTGTATATTCAATTTGATGTATGCAGTCTTCAGGATGAACAAATAAACCTTAAATTCTAGTACCACAAAGAGACGAAGAGTATGCATTTAATTTACACTAATTGCAACAAAATCATCGCCTATGCTTGGAGATACTAAACATTGATTCAAGCGCAGCTCAAAAGCTCAGTACGTTAAATTGTTATTGCACTTTAGACACCTGACTACATTGTTTAATATACATGTTTGTTACCCTTTCTGGTGAATTCAGATTAAAATTCTAAAGGACTGATTAACTTTTTTTGGCATAAAGGATTGCAACGTGTCTATTTTTGTCCAGCATTTATATAAATCCAGATCTCAGAATAAAATTTATACAGAAACTAATCACGTTAGCTTGACTAGAATGAAAAGTAAATCTGTCTACATACCAATGACTTCAAATAGCAATGCACATTTGTGGTTATACTGAGTCCAGTGTTTCATGCCTTCTATAGATGTGGTCACAATACGTAATGAATTATCTGGCTGCATAACTCTCACATGAGCTGGTTGTGATTTCTATTTATTTAAAAAGAGGTAAAGATTCAGCATATGCATCAGCGCAGAAATGTTCCCTAATAGAGAATGCAATAAACTTATTGAAACAAAATTTCTATTCTATTATTTTTAATCTTGAAATGGTAATAGCCAAATTTTGTTGCTATGAAGGGGATGGAAATCCACAGATTGGAATGGAGGGTTTAAGTGGCCTTGGAGGTTGTGCTTAGAGTTGCATGCCTTGACAAGGGGTGTTTGGGGGTGATAGACACTGGCAGGGGGGCATGCGGTTTGTTTGAGCGGCATACTTTGGCATGGAAGGCATGAGGAGCCAAAGGGATTGTCTGGAGACTGCATACCTTGGCAGAGCTGTAATGAGGGGGCCATCAAGGATCGTTTGGAGGGGCATACCTTGGTATGAAGGCAAGAGGAGCCATAGTGAATGTTTGGATGGGATATACTATTATGAGGGGCATGATGTAGCATGAATGGTGCATAGGGAGGTATGTGGGACTGATGGAACAAGTCTCATTGCATTGAGGTGGACCTTTTAATCAGCCCATCGCTGTAACCAGCAGTGTCTGTGGCTGCTTCCAAACATTTTTCTGGGTTAGTTGGCTCAACTTCATTTGCACCTTTCCTCTCACAATGATGATTTGATCTTCCTTGGCACATTTTTCCAAGGCGGGCGAGCTAAAGCAGGAATTTTACTAACTTCTTCTGCTTGCTTTGAAGATGAAAGTTCAAGCGCGAATCCCCGGCCTCTGCCAGTGCTAATTTCTAATCAACAATTTGAAGGTGTACAAGAGCCAAGTTGGAAAAACATGTATTTTGAATCTAATGGTCCACAAAGATTTTGGTTGAAGGAACCTTTCAGTGTTGAGCATTCCTGAACACCACCCTCTCCCCATCTAAATTATAGTATGATATCATACTCACAATATGAAAGTACTGCATGAGAAGACTACTTTAATAACTGTTTTAAGAAAATAGGTATTTGCTGTAGATAACAACGAAATAAGTCTGTCCTTTTAAAAATCTTCCCTCTCTTGAACTCACCTGACACCCACCAGCCTTGCGGGTCTACTATTCTTAGCACTTTTCCATGAGTAGTCCCTTCCTAAAGATGGCTAAGCCATTCTGCACTGCAAATGTGGCAATTGCACTCCTCTGCCACTTTGCAACAAACCCACCTCCAGCTGCCATTGAATTTGCTTACTCAAAGACCCCGTGCAAAGTTTTTATGGATCCCAATTTGAGAATCACTTTCTAGCTACTGGACATCAAAAAAGAGTTCCTTTAGCAAAATAAATGTTAGATCATTATTCAAATTTACATTTCTGCTGGTGGGTTATCGAATCCTCTATGTCCTATATGTTAATTTTAATTTATCCTTCTGTCACACACAGTAAATCAAAATATCCAAAGTCTAAATTCAGAAAAGACTAACTGGTTTAATACAGAATTTATGAATGTACCTGATTAATTACATCACTTGGATTACTTTCAAATTGGTTTTCAAAAAATGGATTGAGTTGGCCACTACATTTACTGCTTGTTGAATTTTGAGATGAACTCTTGGGCCACTGATGTGTTTGCTGAGAAGACTTTTTTTGTGCTTTGTACGATTCAGATGGCACACATGATCCGAAAGTACTTGTTATTTTTGTTTGAATATGATCGTTCCTATTAGAAGTACATTCCGTTCTTTCATTCGTGAGAGACCTAATATTTCCTTTCCAAGTATTTCCAGACTGTTGTCTAGCATCTGTGCTAAAATGTAAACAATTCAAGTTAGTAGAGTTTAACATAAGCATTATACATATATGTAAAATGTAACCAAATTCAAATCTTCCAAAGAAAGACATTATCTTAAAAAGATTTCAGAGGCATCTCAATGCAATCTTTGTGTGTTCAGCATACAAAAATCAATGAGACTTTGCTTTACACAGAATACTAAATAAACAAACAGAGGAACCATTGACCAACTAGAAAATTACACAATGTAACTAGCCATCCAAGAATAAAGCTGAAGCAAAATAGGCAAAGTTCAAGCCCGAAGTCCAAAGTATACTCAACCAATAAATGCAACACTCTTATGAAAGAAGGAAAAATAAAAGGCAATTTCCTGCAATACAGTATCACACTTCCACGAGCTTTGTCCCAATGCCAGAGTGATAAAAGCAGCAGCTTTCTCAATAATATTTCAAGTTTGCATGTTCCTCCACACAATAAATAGTTATTTAATATATCGCCCAAATTCTATTTTGTTGCCAGTCACAAGAATGTGCTTAAAGCAGCTTTTTCTTTATATTTGGCTGTTCTGAAGATAACTACTTCATCACTCTTTAAATGATAACAGAGGTTATATGCATCAACATAATTCTACAATTCTGTGGCACATTAGCAAGTTACCACATGAAAATTAAAAAGCTTGAAGTATCCAACAGATCTGGCAGCATCTGGGGAGACAGCAACAGAGTTAACAACAAGGATTTAAGCAGCCCCCAGAAGATGAGTAGGAGATTTAGGGCCAGCAAAAACATGGGAGCTGCAATCGATTAGCTGCCTAATGCAGTCCTGACAATGTCAGAATATTTTACTGACAGCAGGACCAGATATGACGTGGCTGCTCAGCCAAAGGAGGCAGGCAGCTGATTTACGTATGTGAAAGGCCTGATCGGAGCAGTTTGATGTTGCTTTGGCAATGTCTCAACACATGGCAAGCCTGCCAGTTAAATGGAGGTGGCTTTCCAGCAATAGCCAAGCATAATGTCAATGAATGTCTTCCATCCGTGTGGGCCAAAGGGGTCCCTAGCAGGGAAGGCAGTATCCGCAGCCCCAGTGATCTCCCAAGGAATTTTCCTTCCAACCCTCGGCCCTGTGATTCTTTAAATAAAACATTTTGCACGTACTTCCTGTAGCCCTGATATTTGCAATTCTCAGCAGTAAGCACCTACCCCATTGGTGTTTCAGAATTGCCAGCCCTGTGATTGGGTTAGCAACATAAACAACCTGCCTGCTTTCCACAACTGGATGATGTCCAAAAAATTGCTGAGCAGGTCCAGATGTCAGCGTTTGCATGATTAAAACATAATTTTTATGACGCTGGGGTCCTGATGCCCACACAAAATTCAGCCCCACATTTCATGTCAATGACTTATCAATACCTTACATGGCATAAAAATATCTAAAATACAGGTGTGAAGTAGTAGTTTAGATTATTTGTCATCAACGAACTACCATTGATGGTTAGCACTTAAATTCAGTGCCTACATGTTGGGCACAGATTTGGTTGCGTATCACCCTTTTGCTGAAGTGCAGTGCATCACCAGCTGCTTACAGCTTGGCCAGTGCACCATTGTCAACCCTGATATGCTTCAGAAACAAAGTGGATTGTACAGGTCCATTAAATGAATTTGAGTATAATTATGGCTGAGCTGCAAGGTGGACCCTGTGCAGTTCTATTTAAAAGTCCAAACACCAAACTTGCACCAAGAACCCAGTACTTTCCCAGTGTTTTAGAGGTCCTGTGATGAATTCCTAAGAATTTATCTGTGAACATGCTCACTGATGAGCTGGCAAAATAAAAACACCTTTAACCCTGACTTGGTTGTACCACACTCATTCCCAAATTACAAACCATATGGTAGATCCCAGCTTTATAGCCTACTTTCAATGTATGTACAATACCAGTAAATGAGCTGGTGTCAGATGGTGATGATTTTCAGTGCAATTCTGTTGCTCTCCCCTTTGTGTAGGTTTTGGTTATTTGGTATTAGAAGCAGATATTCAGAAGGGGAAAGATTGGTGTGAGGGGAGCTGGAAACAAAAAGGTCCATGATCACAGCATCTACAGCTTGTTCATCATGCGTGTTCTCAGATTGAGTGTGAATTGGGATTTAGGAAGGGTTTTAAAGCAGGAACAAACCAACATTCTCAGTGTTTTCAGCAACACCAGATTGCACTGGCTCAGGAATAAGTAGGACAGCAGTACTGATGATACACACTTGGCTGAGGGATAGGAAACAAAGTAATGGTTAAGTTACTTTTCAGACAAGAAGGTGGTTTGTAGTAGAGTTCCCCAAGGGCCAGAATTAGGACCCTTGGTTTTCTGAACTTAGGTCTCTATTGTGCTAATATCATCCTTAACTAACAGAACCATTCCTCCATCTTTTCCTGGTTTCTGAATGGCAAAGATACTGTGAGTATCCAGGAAGCTGCAAAGTGAGTGACTGCTAAGGAAACAAGAGCCATGATGTGCATCCTGGCCTGGTGCACGAGACACGTGCTTGTCCCTGTGTGAAGGTAGCCGGGCAGTGCATTATAATATAAGATGTTGGTGCCCTTCAATACTGCACTTTGGAGTGCACCAAAAGTATTGAACTGCAGTCTAAGCAACTTGGAGATGTGCCACGATGATGAGGTGAGGCTTGCACATGTCTAATGCCCACATCAGTGAATGAAGAATGCAGGCAGTCATTGTCCCTAAAGCATATGCTCAGGTGTTCGGGAATGCTGGCCAACATACTGACCCTGAGGAGCAACAGGTGAGCTGCAGCCACCAGATAACTACATAGAACTTTCATGTCAGGAATTTTCATCATCTGGTTTCTCTCCACTACCTAGTAAGCTAACAAACAGCATACAAATGCGGTGAAATTAGGCAATAAAGAGGTACGAATCAGGGAAATAGGCCACTCACCACTCACTAACAAGATTTTCATGGAGTCAAAAACTTTGGGTGGAAAAATCAGACTTCTTTTTTGATGTTTAGCATCTCATTTTCCATTCTCACCATATTTACCAATTGCCCAGGTTATGCAGAGGCTGGGTAAAATCCACCCATAGATTCACACTAGTTGTCCCTTCCTCTGACAATCTATTTCTCTCATTTCCTATATTAATACCTTTCTCTTTGACCTTGTCTCTGCCCTTTGATTTACCATGTCTTCTCAAATTTGATCCTTGCACCCAGTCTCTAATTCTTAACTGTATGGTTTATAATGGTTAACATGAACCTTGCCCCAGCATGATTCAGGTGGTGATTGTCCCATCAGGACAGATTCCACTTTCTCCAGTACTGATGCCAGTGCTATACGAAACAGAACCCATTTCTCAAACATCAGTCTTTGAATTATGCATTCATCTCTCTAATTTGATTCAATATGTACCAATTTACATGTGGGTCAGGTAATAATGCAGAGATTATGACCCTTCAGGTCTGTTTCTTAATTTGGTGTTTAGCACCTCATACTTGCTATGCAGGACCTCTATGTTTGAACTGCCTATGTAATTGGCAGCCACACGGACCACAATGATCAGATCCTCCCCTTCACACTGAAAGTTTCTCTCTAGCCCTAAGTAAATGTCTCAAAACTTGGCTCTGGCAGGTAACACAGTCATCTGGACTCTCATTCTTTGCTGCAAAGAAAGTTTTCAATCCACCTCATATTTCTGCTACTACTCGTACATTCCATTTTACTTCCCCTTTTGAATGGCTTCCTGTACAACAGTTCAATGGTCAGTTAGCTCATCCACCCTGCAGGCTTCAATATCATCCAGATAAACTGAGAGAACTGTAAACTTAATGTTTTAACGAAGATCTGTAGCTCGAGTTGCAGTTGGAGTTGTTGGTTGGTTCGCTGAGCTGACTGGTTTTCATGCAAACGTTTCATCTCCCTTCTAGGTTACATCATCAGTGCTGCGTGGCCTCCATTCAAGCATTTTTCTGTCCCGGTTTACCACTGATGCAATTAACAAACATGTTGAAATAGACCCCATCTACATACCCGAATGGTATAAAACCGGAAACAAGACTGCCCACCGTGACAGACTGGACCATATAAATTCAGAGCGGGACAGAACAACAGCACTTCAATGGAGGCTACACAGCACTGATGATGTCACCTAGAAGGGAGACGAAACGTTTGCATGAAAGCCAGTCAACTCGGCGAACCAACCAACAACTCCAACTGTAAACTTTTTGAAATATTGCAAAGGCAGAGGCTCCTGTGCTCCGGCCCTCTGGGTCCCCTTACTGCCTTACTCTCAGTGACAATTTCCTGTCTCTGAACACTGACCAAAACAGACAGCCCAAACCTTGGAGATGTGACTGCCTCCTCGTATAAAGAATCCAGATAATATTCTCCGTCCCTGATGCATTGCAGTATCTGCAGTTCAGCCTTCAGCTCAGGCTGCTCGAACGTCAAAAACTTGTCACAGAAGTGTTTGCTCTGGAACAAACTAGTATCTAGGAATTTCCACATGCTGCAGCTGTGACAAATCACTTGTCCTGCCATCCTTAAAGGTGCTCTAAGGATCTAAGTAATTATATTATTCAGTTTATATTTTATACTACCTGACCTTACTACTAGATACTGTTTTGAACCTTAGCAAGATAATAAACGGGGCAACACAGTGGTTCAATGGTTAGCACTACTGCCTCACAGCACCAGGGACCTGGGTTCGATTCCACCCTTGGGCGACTGTCTGTGTGGAGTTTGCACATTCTCCCTGCAACTGCATGAGTTTCCTCCGGGTGCTCCGGTTTCCTCCCATAATCCAAAGATGTGCTGGTTAGGTGGATTGGCCATGCTAAATTGCCTGCAGTGTTCAGGGATGTGTAGATTAGGGGGATGGGTCCTGGTGGGATGCTCGGAATGTCATTATGGACTGGTTGGGCCAAAGAGCCTGTTTCCACACTGTAAGGATTCTATCATGGTGATAAATTACTAGACACGCATTATATGACCAGCATCTTTTCTTGTAGCAGACTAAGAATCAGCTCCTGACGCTGTGATGTTTGTCATTTGACTTCTTGTTTTTCTAACCTATAGTTATACTGTGCATAGCTGTAATGTAACTCTTTTCTTCATTTCTCTATTCTGTAACTAAGGACTGTACCAAGGTTCTCTGTATATTAGATGACATCATGTGCTAGGTGGCACTATTACACTGTAACTAATCTTGTAACTGAAGAAGCTGTACCTACGTACTTCTGTACCTAAGACGGCGCTGTAAGTGATGACTTATCAACTTTTCACTGTACTCATTTGAGTACATGTTACAATAAAGCTAATTCAATTCAATTGAAAAAGCTAAGGAAGAAGCAAAAGCTACAGAACAATTCTTACCTAGCTCCCTGAACTTCCTTAATCACTTAACTCTGGCAATCTATTTTAAGTCACACTCAAGTGGTAAATCACACTACTTTGGCCTTTCTTATGTGCTCCCAGAACAAAGACCTATCTTCTCACTTAATGATGATACAGTTCCACCTAGTTCTTAATTAAATTGTTCTTTCACTGGAAGCCTTGTTACAACCCTACTTAAGGCAAGCAACTATTGAATTTAAAGTGGAGATTCCAGTTTAATAGCAACTACAAAATAAAAAAAGCTTATACTTTCTTTATCAACAACTGCACATTCATACCTAGGTCAAACTGAGTTTGCTAGCTGAATTTATATTTTTTTCCTATCCAGAAGTGCTCTTGCAGACAACTGAAAGGCTTTTTTACTATCACGAAATCACCCATAGTATTTTTTCATCTATTAACAACGACGAGTAAACCACCCGTATTTAGCTGAATTTAACTGCTCCTAAAACAAAAGACCTAGCTGATTCATTTAATGAGAATCCAGTTTCATTTAGTCCTTAATTAAGTTGATCTTTCACCAGAATCCATGCTACAATGCCGCTTAAGGCTGGCAACTACAACATTTAAACTGCAGATTTCTGTTTAATATCAACTATAAACTGTAAAGTAAATTAGATCTATACAAAATAAAAATACAGATTTACTTACCCAACAACTGCATGCACTCAGTCCTTGTAACAGTAACAGGAGTGTCATGCACTCTGTAGTGTGATGTGGTGTGATAGCAGGAGATGTCATGTGAAGATGCATTCAATGAACTCATTAGGCTTCTGGTGGCATTGTTTTCAAGTTTCCAGTACCAAACGCTGGCAACTGACCTCTTTAACTACCAGTCTCATTCTTTTCTGAGGGTTACCCCCTTGAGAGCAAACCATGCTCCCTGACCCAAAAGAAGTAAGCTATTTTTAGCGAGTTTAGCCCAGTGAGTTTATTCATTCCCCATGAGTTGCAGTGTAGGATCTTACAAATGACAGTAGAAACATAACTTTTTGCTATCATTAAGATCACATTATAATGGCAAATCTTCAAAACATTACTTCTGAAAAAAACTGAAAAAAAACGATATAATCTGCAAACCTCCACTGTAATTGAGAGATAAGTACATGTGAATGGAAACAAGAGAAGAAAAATGACTAAAAAGCTAAATAAACCACATTACACAATCCACTTACTTCCACCCTGTCATTTTGCTTTGTCCTGCAATGTTGGATCCACCAGAAAACTGCCTTTGTACCTGACTTTGTTGTCGTGGAGGTACCTGTTGCTGAAGCTGACTGGAAAATGAAAAATTTGTATACTTATTGTTTAAATTAGTATGTTATTTTATATTAGCCAAAATAGTACCGCTTTCACGGTTTCATAATCACATGATTAGTTGTCTGCAATATGTCACTGTCTGCTATTACACCCTCACTAAAGAAATGAAAACTTGCAGAAATACCTATGGTTGCATATAGTATCAAAGACATCGTACGTTCATTTTACCGAAACATAACTGCATCTCACATTTCAGACATTATTGCTAAGCCTCTTTTGTGCTGTACGGTATCATTTGAATTCATTGAGTCTGTTACTATTTTATATCTCGGTGTGTGCTTTCTCATGTAAATAATGCAATGGAATCTATGTATTACAGCAGACTGTAATGCACAGAGTACAAGTGCCACGAAAATTCCCTGTTGCTGCAATATAATGCTGACAAAACGAATGTACACGACCTTTTAAAAATGTAATTTAACAACCTTTTACTGTCACATGTAGGTTCCTGAATTGGCAATCACATCATATTGTATGATACTGTCAATTTCTAACCCCATTAAGATGGAAATAAATTTAATTATAGTTTTCAAGAACAAAACAAATTAAAAGCAGCAACTGGCTAGGATCACGTTATACAGCAACGTGAGCTCTCAGGCTGAATTCTCCCAGCTCCATTGTGGCAGGTTTGGGGGCTGTACCAGATGTCCCACCATTGCATTCTGACTGCTAAGGATCTTTCACCTTTTTTTTTCCTAATCAACCTGTTCAAAGATGTTATTACACACTTGGAGAGCAGGTGAGACTTGAACCTGGGTCTCCCAGTCCAAGGGTAGGGATGCTACCACAGCACCTCAAGAGGGCCCTGAGGATCTTCCATAGGTGTTGACTGGGATTAGGACCAGTTGTCTGCTCTACTAAAGCTGACAGCCAATTAATTTAACTAAATCCCCAATTAGGAGTAATTTTGCCACTCCATTCACTTTTTGCCACTAGCGGAGCAGTAACCCTGTTCCCTGCCATCCAAGTTCCTCATGCAAAGGCCACCAGCTCAATGGAAGTAGTGTCACTGCTAAAGGTGACGGGATAATGAGAACTACCCTAAGAGGTTCTAAGTTCCAGTGATGGAGCTGTGGACAAGATGACTGAACAATTCATCCAAAGGGATCACGCCATAACTCCATTGGATCCAACAGCTTTGGCCCTTATAAATTTTTGCTTCTAGATCTCCAAAGGTGCCTCCAGGTTGAGGCAGTCTCATAGTCCACAATTAGCCTCAGCAGCACTGATGTCAGCAGCTATGGGTTTGGAATCTGTATTTGGCCTCAAAATAAGGGTCCTGAATCCCATAATAAAATTCAGGCCTTTGATCATGTTCCATTTTGTAACACACTGCAAAAGGAACATGAAGAGATATGTTTGTCTGTATCGCTAAATCAACTGAAACAAAGTCATCTAAGAAGATGTTATCTTTGGCTAGCCAATTTTGCATAGACCAGTCATTGAGTTATAGAGTCATACAGCATGGAAACAGACCCTTAGTTCCAACTCATCCATGTTGACCAAGTTTTCCAGACTAAACTAGTCACTTTTGCCTCATATTCCTCATATTTCCCTCGCTCATATTCCTCTAAACCTTTCCTTTCATGAACCTATCTGAAAGTCTTTTAAATGTTGTAATTGTACCTGCATCTATCACTTCCTCTGTCAGTTCATTCCACCCTCTGTGTAAAAAAGTAGCCCCTCAAGTCTCTTTTAAATCTTTCTCCTCTGACCTTAAAAATATGTACCCTAGTTTTGAACTCCCCCACCTTTGCTATTCACCTTACTATGCCCCTCAAATCTTCAATCTCCCACACTCCAGGGAAAAAAAAGTCCCAGCATCTCCAGCCTCTCCTTATAACTCAAAACATTCCAGTCCTGGAAACATCCTGGTAAATTTTTTGTGAACCCTCCCCAATTTTATAATATCCTTCCTACAGCAGGGCAATCAGAACTGCATAGTACTCCAAAAGTAGCCTCACCAATGTCCTTCACAACCTCAACATGACGTCCCAACTCGTATACTCAAAGTTCTAGAGCAATAAAGACAAGGGTGCTGAACACCTTCCTAACCACCCTGGCTATCTGTGATGCAACTTTCAAAGAACTATGTACCTGAACCCCTAGGTTTCTGTTCGACAACGCTACCCAGGGCCCTATCATTAATTGTATAAAGTCCTGCCTTTGTTTGTTTTTACCAAAATGCAATATCTCGCCTTGATCCAAATTAAACTCCATCTGCTACTAACTGATCAAGATCTCATTGTAATCATAGATAACCTTCTCCAGTGTTGACTACACCACAATTTTGGTGTCATCCGCAAACTTACTAATCATGTCTCCTAACTTTCCATCCAAGTTGTTTGAATAAATGACAAACAAGGATTTCAAAGCAGAATTAAGTAGGGTTACTTATGATGAAAGCTGTATGTTAACCTTGTGTTGCCTGCGTGCAGAGGAAGGATAAATTTCAAGGGCCCAACTCCTACTTCTAGCCTGGGTCCCCAGTCCTTTGTCCAACCCAAGTTTAGTAAGCCCCGTCCCTAGCTCAAGCATATTAACCTCACCCTCAACCCGAGCACAGTGGCTTCCCTAGCATCCCAGGCCTCAGTTATTAGACCCCACTCTCCTGGGCCCTGGGAGCATGCAGCACTTCTGATTTGCTTTGTGCCTCAGCAACTGGCCCAAAACTCTAAGGGGCTAGTACCAATTAAAGTCACCATGCACAATTTGAATCCCAGCTGTACTTTACGCAGAAGTGCTTGTGACAGCAGCAGGTGCTGAAAAGATCTTCAAGTCAGTCACTGTCCAGACAGCAGTCCCAGCAGATGGTTACAGAATAGCAAGCAGTCATCACCAGAGATATGATTCATAGGAAGCCATGTTAAAAAATAATCTCTAATTTCCACAATGAACTTTCAATAAGCTCTTTTAAAGAAATCACTCCAGGCATTTCCATAAAACTTAAAGTATAGCCAATTTCTGCAATCCTTCAAAACAAAGTTTCTTTATAACATATCCAATACCAGATTTTATAATTACATCTAAATACAAAAATTCCTATTTGTGTTTAATACTCAAATTCTGACATGAACATGTAAATCACTTACTTCCAGCTGTTCTTACTGTTTTGTCTTGTGATGTTAGATTCATGAGAAAACTTTCTCTGTTCTTGAATTTGTTGATGCTGAGATAAATGTTGTTGAAGTTGGCTAAAAGGTAGCATTTAAGTAATTAAAATTCAATAAGAGAAAACCGTAACAGTGATTAGGCTCCTATAGCCATTCATTTTATTTTAAGTAATGCATCAATACTTTGATACATTAGTGTTGTTCAAATACTAATGTATCAAAGTATTATTCATATATAATATAGCAAGTTATTATAATGAAATTATAAATTAACAAAAATTGTTAAAGAAACAGTCAGATCTAATATTTTCCACATTCACTTTTTTCAAGCAATATTAATTTATATATAGAACATAAACACAATCAAGTTAACATCCAATATAACCTAATTAGAATTATCTGCAATTTCTCTCACTATTGTAACAGATATTGATGTCCCTACGACTGCCTTTCAAACTATTTACATTTTTTGATTGCCAATAAAAACACTGAAAATACTAAACAATTGGGATCTGTATAATTTTGTATGCTGCCATTCAACACTCAAGATATGCTGGCATTTGTAAGAAACCATGTACTGAACTACAACTGTTTAAATAACATTGGCAAAAAAAAATCTTCCAGAGCTACTAGAATGATATCAGTAGGTCAAAGTTTAAGCTGCATTCACTTCATGTCACAATTCGGTCCGTACTACCAGTATTGAGAAATTCTCTTCAGCATGCACTGGGAGGTAAAACTGACCACCAAAGCCAAATTATAAGTCAAAATGTCATGTGTATCATAAAAATATAGCATAAGAAAATAGCAAGAACAAAACAAAAAACTGAGACAAGCTGTACAGATTGCCAAAGGAATAGACAGTTTAAAAAGTTTTTTTTCTTGATTTTCTTGAACACATGCTAGACGTAATGGTTAACTGTCACAGAAATTTTAAAAATTGTTCACCATCAATTCTAATAAATGATGCCAAGAGATGTCCTGACCAGAACTTTTTTATTTCTAGTTCAAATTTTCAGCAGACACTCTTTCTTTAAATTCCTGTAACTTAAATAGGAAAAATAAGCTCACTGATTTCACAATGCATTCTGCCAGGCCAACTTTAGCATTTGTGGATTTTTTTTCCACAGCATATTTATATAACCCTGACTGCTATTTTGTCTTATCTGTTCAGGTCTAGTTACGCAATGGTGGGCAATATTTGCAATTTTTTGAATAACTCAAAGGTTGGTGTGCAAAGGTGGCTGGTTTTATCCTGTAGTCTGTATTTTAGTTAAAGCAGAGCTGTAAGGGAGAAACACTGTGACTGAAATTGAGAACTGTGCAACACAGAAAAATGAACAACATAGGGATACTTCGGAAATGAATCAGCAAAAACTGTACTGTGATGGCACTTTTGCATCCTAGAAGCATTCTCACTCAGGCTTTGAGGGACTGGATGTCTTATGTACAGGGCATCAATTTCATAATTTTGTCAATTGCTTTGAAGCTTCAAACAGAACATACTTGTATATTACTATAAGATGATTGTCGTCATATTTGGGCAAACTGGTTCAAACATGCCAAAATTCTCCTTTCCTGTACCTTTTCTGTATCTGTATTATCTTAGATGCACATAAGCTCCTAACGTATTTCCAAATCAAAACTCTTTTAGCAGATACTTTTCACAGTATAGTTAGCAAAACAGTAGCTAATCACATTGTTTAAAATGAGAAGGAAGTAGTTCTGAAAGGGACAGATCTACTTCTGAGCCAAAAAGTCTGAGCTGAAGTTCCATCTGCTCCAGAAGTGTGTTATAATACATCTGAACAGGCAGATTAAAAGAGTGTGAAGGCCACACTTGACGTTGCATTACTTGTTGCTGATGTCTGAGAAAATATCTAAAAAGGACCGATAACCAGCACCTCCTGCATCTAGATACCACCCTGCCTCATCCCAGGTAGAGTCCTCAGACAACAGCATATCTCCCTAGATTAAATGTAAAGTGATTTTTGTCTTTGGGACCTATATTTTACTAAGGCAATAATCAAGGGTTTTCAAGCAATCAAAAAACAATTAATAATTTTTTAAAAAATTTGATTGAAGAAAAAACCAATTTCAGTGAATTTAAAACAGAACTCTCCTAGAAGAAAGTGCTGGGGAATCTCACCAAGTCTGGCAGCATCTGTGGAGAGAAATACAGAGTTAATTTGGGTCCATTATGACTTTTCTTCAGAACTGTAAAGTTCTCTCCAGGATCAACTGGACTGAAAGACTGACAAGCAAAACTGTAAAGGAACAAAGGCAGCCTTTAAGAAAAAGATAGCTTGCGTACAGTTGAAATGCGTTCTGACACAGGGAAACGTAGGGAAAACAAAGCAAGTGCTTCTTGGATGATATATGTGATGAAGAATAAGATGAATCAGAAAAAGGGTCAGCATGGCAGATGTCAGGTTGGTAATATATTAGAACCAGATTTAAAATAGGAATGCAAGAGTGCTGTTAGAAAAGGAAATAAGAGATGCAAAGAGAAAATGGAATAAGACAATGGCAGCTAATACAAATGAGAAACCAATAATCTTCCACAAGGATATAACAATAAAAGATTATTAAGAGGAATGGTAGAAGTGTTTAGAAACTAAAAAGGGGTGCAGAAATGGAAACAGAAGGTATGGCTAAAGTGTTAATTGAATATTTTGGAACTGTCTTTGTCAAGGAAGAAGAGACTGCTAGAATTATAGAAAATAATAGGTACTTCAACTATCAGATAGGCTAAAAATTAACAAAGCAGAGATATGAGTAAACTGACTGTATTTAAAATTGATAAGTTGTTAAAAATGAATGGGAATCATCTGAGAAGGTTGACGAAGACATGGGAAACAAGGGTGGAAATTTTGGGGTTACAAGCCATATCCTTCCTGTCCTCCTTCAATATAATGTAGCTGGTACTTCCGCACAAACACAGTCAACTTAAAAGATGCCAACGCTTAAACTGCAAAAGCTACTTGTGATGGGCAATTTTCAGAAATTGGCCAAAATCCATCTCCAGCATTCCACCGGATGGAAAGAACCTGATATACACACAGGTTGTTTTCTTCAATACACAGGCCACATAATAAGTTTGCATCAATAAACTGTAAACATAACTACAGATTTGGAGCCTTTGTGTCTGTATATGCCTCACACTCCTTGCAAATGCTAATCCCAGAGAACCGTTTTTTGGTCAAAGCAACAATGATCTGATACAGTAAAGTCCTGCCATTCACTTGCTCGCCCTTTCCAAATTTGCTTATCCTTGCAAGCCTTTCCATGTACCTTTAGACCAACCCAACCCCAACGTTCACTCATGTGGTTTACCAAGTATAAATCTGCATACTGCAAGGTTGTTGATTTGTTTGCCAAGCTGGTAGGTTGGTTTGCTGATGTTTCATCACCATTCTAGGTAACATCATCAGTGTGCCTACGATGAAGTGTTGTTGGTCTGCCCCGCTTGTTATTTATGTGGTCCGGTCTGATAAGATGGTTGGCCTCATTTCCGGTTCTGCAAACTGCGCTTGTGTCGCTTATTGCACAAGCATAGCTGCCTTTTTTAACCACAGTTCACTTAGTACTGCTCTCTTTCAACTTTGAGACATGGTCATTTGCTTGAAGTACATGCACTGTCTTTGGTACATATGCAGTCTGGTATATGGTGCAGGTGTAACACATCGCATGATGCCACAAAGCAACATGTTCACCCCCTCAACTGATCACTACTGACAACCATGAAAAGGTTCCCAGCTTTGTGTCTGCGCTAAAAGGCAAGGAAAGACAGAAGTACATTTTGAGGGGCCAAAAAACAAAAAGGCAAGGCATGGATGCTGTGAGCATCCCGGTAGCCATAAAGTGGGTGAGTGCTAAGAAGCGAGTGAATAGCCCTGAAATGCAGCTTGGTCCAATCCATGAGCTGGTGCCCATTTTTGAATACTAAGTGTCCTTGCAGCAGCATTCCAATGATAGCTGTCGGTTCATTCCAAAACACAGCATTAAAGTGCAGAACTGTACTGTACGTGGATGGGAGATGTGCCATTTTAATGTAGAGAGACCAGAATATGTCCATGGATGGGGTGTCTGCACTTGCTGTCCATGGAACGTGCCCTGAGATGCTGGTAACTGATGTCCAAGATGAAGTTCCAAAGGTGCAAGCAGTGAGTTGGTATCGACACTGACTTATAATTTGGGAATTCTCGGCATCTAGTTTGTATCAGGTGAATCAGACAACAGGAGACAGCACATTACTGAATTGAAATTAAGTAATAATGAATGGTAATGAGTGACAATCCATGCCAACAGGCCTCTCACCATTCACTAGTGAGAATCTCGTCTGGTCTTCCAGGACATGGTTGGAAAATGAGACATTTTAGTATTTACACTGAGAAGTGTCTCGCTGGACATCTCACTCGATTTCCTTAAATTTCTTTCTATAGCCCATGTCAATCAGGACCCGGGAAGATTCTGCCTATGGAAGTCTATTACACTTAAAAGATTGATGTCATGTTGTTTAATAAAATCAGAATTGAAGAAATTATTTATTTTAGGTATCTTAAAATTAAATAGCTTAAAAGCATTCAATGAATTCTGTAAGACGGTTAAACCCATTAGGTCAGAGCAGGCTATGTGACAATTTGAAACTTGCTACCACAGGAAGGGGAAGCTCGATAAGTACTTAAAAGCGAAAACAATCAATGATTACAATAGTATATTTAAATGAAAAAAATGGGATGAGGCTTAAAAGAGAAAAATATCAGTGTTGTCTGGTTGGACAGCGTCCTGCTTCTGTGTCTTATATCCTATGGAATCCTGTCCAATAAACCTGGAAATAGTGGAGAAGAATGGTGTGGTCATCCATGCATAAAACTGCAGTGTGGACAAAGAAGGAGAGGTAATGTATTATGCCACTTTTACTGAGACTACCATAACTTTGATTAAGGTAATTTTAGTGTTTTAGGAGAGCCCGAATCAGTATTAGAGGGATTCAATCCTGGTACATCGTCAATTCTATCATGCCATGAAGAGGAAACAACAGATGCAAGCCACAGAAAAAGAGAAAATAAACAGATGAATCATCTCTTTATACTCACTGTGAATCATTTTGTCACATTCTCACTCATCTGTCAGTATGCAATAAGGAAAGAAGATTAAGCTTTTAATATGCAAAAGTATCTTCCGTCCCTCAAACTGATCAAATTATATTTACGTAAACTATGGAAAAACAGTGGTGGTCCTAATATGTTGTTCACAAGATGAGTAAGTCCAGGCCACTTTCCCCTCGTTCCCAGGTGTCTCAGTAATAAAATTACACTTTGTTCCTTATGTGAATGCATAAATATGCCAAAGAATTTTGAATATAATTGTAATTCTTCACAAGGGCTTCTGAGAATGCTACAGAAATTCTAGTTAAACAGATTTTATATTCAGAGCAATTATAACACAAAGATGGACTCAAAATTAACACATCTTTCAGTGTTATATACTTACTCAGTATTCGTAGATTTTCCTGAATTTGGCAGAGGAGTCATTCCACTACATGAATTATCTATATTAGTCCTCATATTGGGATACTGAAACTTGGTCCTATAATTGATTTGAATTGTTGTCTGATTGCCTGGTGCTCTGTTTTGAGTTAATCCTTTGTTGCCTTAAAACATAATAAATAAACATTTTGTTTTCATTCAAATGTAAAAATGACAAAGAATGTTTCTACAGCATTGTTCAATAAATATGGTAGTGTAGAAGTATGTTATATGATGGTCAACATCAATGTTCCCTCTATTTTTTTTTCTTCCTTGTGGATCTCCAGAGTCCATGCGTTGCAGCAACTTCCAGATCCAGAAGTCAATGCTGCAATCCATTTCAGCACGCTGTTTGCCATGTGAGAAACGTCAGCACAACCTACATGCAACAGTGGTCAATGCTGAAATGCAAGTCAACCCTAAGGAGATTTACAAACTATACACAACTAAGTCATGACATGTGGAAATATGACTGATTCTTTATAGAAACAAGGAAGATAGGAGCAAGAGGAGGCCATTCGGCCCTTCGAGCCTGCTCCACCATACTTCACTTCCATGGCTGATCATCTAACTCAATCCTGCTTTCTCCCCGTAACCTTTGATCCCATTTGCCCCAAGTACTATACCTAGTTGCCTCTTGAAAACATGTTTTGGTATCGACTACTTCCTGTGGTAATGAACTCCACACGCTCACCACTCTTTGGGTGAAGAAATGTCTCCTCATCTCCATCCTTAATCGTCTACCCCGAATCCTTATACTGTGAGCCCTGGTTCTGGTCATACCACCATCGGGAACATCCTCCCTACATCTAACCTGTCCAGGCCTGTTGGAATTTTATAAGTCTATACGAAGTCCCCTTTCATTTGTCTGAACTCTAGCAAAAACAATCCCAACAATCTCTACTCATACATCAGAACCGCCATCCCCGGAATCAGCCTGGTAAACCTTCGCTGCATTCAATCGAGAGCAAGAACATCCTACTATTCACTACTCAAGTATTTCAACAGTCAGATCCTCAGAGAAAGTTAAAATTCTGACTACAGACCAAATGATTAACAGTAACAGAAAGTGTGCCTTATTGCCAGAATATGAAAATAATCATTTAAGTTAGGATGATAAAATTTGCATTACCTGATGAAATCATCATCGTAATACTCTTCTTCATCTCCTGCTCCTTTAATAATTTGAGTTCTCACTCTTAGCTATAAGAGGAACGTTAATGGATTCTAAAATCTTACCCACCCGAGGTCAGGCTAACCAGCCTATAACTTCCCATCTTCAACCTCCTTCCCTTCTTAAATAGGAGTGTTACAGTAGCCGTTTTCCAGTCCTCTGGGACTTTTTCTGTATCCAGTGATTCCTGAAAGATCACTGCCATTGCCTCCACAATCTCCTCACCTATCTCCTTCAGAAACCTGGATTTATTCCATCTGGTCCAGGGAATTTATTCACCTTCAGACCTTTCAGCTTCCCCAGCACATTCTTGTTAGTAATGGCCAATAACATGATGAAAATGAAGCATAAAAAGAGAAAAGGTAAAGTAACATGTGATCAGAGTGGCAGGAAATAATCTTGATTACCTGCTGGTGGTGAATCAAAACTTTCTGGTGTAGGAAATAGGTTGTTTGAGCCTGGCTCGTGTTCCATAGGGTTTGAAGTCAATGGCAGTCGGGTTCTTTTCTTTTGATTAAACAGTAATACAGGAAGGCAACCTGAAAAATATCATTTAAAACAGATAAGTTTCTACATAATCATTTGTACCAGGAAAGAAAAGCCATCTGAATTAAAGGCAAATATTGTGCACATACCTTTTAAATAAAACCAAGTCTTTTTCAGTATAGCCACAAACATAATTTTACACCAATTAATGTCAAAATGAAACTATTCAGTGAATACTTTGATCAATCTGAAATAAATTTTGAAAATTCTTACTAACCAAAATGAATAAAACAAGTATCACTCAAACAAAATGCATGAACAATCCCACAGCTAGTTGTTTTAATAGCTAACACAAGTACTTTGAGCAGATTTACTATTACTTTACTTTTTTGTGACAAGTCTTTAGCGATTGATTTTGGCACAATTTGCAAAAAGTCATTGAAAATCCAATATCTACGTCTAAGGATGTTTCTCTTTTTGCTCCAGAACAGAATTAAGTTTATATTTATAGATGCTTGAAATTCTGATATTAAAATGAAAGATTTGTATCCATTAGCATTTCCAAGTGCTCAAAATGGTTAAAGGGGAAACTCTAGATCTTAAATAAATTAATACATGGAACATGTCACACACATATATAATATATATTAAATCTATATACTGAAATAGGCCATTCAACCCAACGTATCCATGGCAGTGCTAATGTTCTACATTAGTCTCCTCTAACATTTGATAATAACCTAATCAACACATACTTTGATTCCTTTCTCCCTCATATGTTTACTTATCTTCCCTGTAAATGCACTTATGTTAGTTACTTCAGTTAATCCTCAGGTAACTTGTTCAACACTCAAACCACTCTGAAAAAATCTGACATTTTCTCAGATTTCCTTTTGGACATATCAGTGATCTAGTTATATTTATGGCCCCAATTTCTGATCTCTCCCACTAGTAGGAACATCTTCTCTACATCAAACCTATAAAAACCTTTCATAATCTTAAAGAAATTAACCCTGTTACGATTTTGCTATTCTATGACCTTATTAACACACTTTCAAGCACTGATTTAACCTTGACTCTTGGCAAGAAGTTGTGGGTTCAAATCCCAATCGAGAGACTTGAGAATAAAGTGGAAACTGATATTTCAGTGCAGCCAGCGTATGTGGATTTCAGATATTGTACTGTCAGATGTAATTTTTTTTCAAATGAGATTTAAAGCAGGGTCCCAAATGTCCTCCCATTGGATATTAAAAATCTCACAGCAATATATGAATAACACATGAGTTTTCCACTGTCTTGGTCAACATTTGTTAATCAATCAACAGCACCCAAAACAGACAGGTCATTTATGTAATTTCGCCCTCTGGGAGATTACTGTACTAAAGTTGGCTGCCATGTTTGGTACATTAAAATGAATGTACTACAAAACCACTTAATTGGCTACAGAGTGCTTTGGGACTTATGGTTGTGAAAGCAGCTATGTAAAGTCTGTTTTTAGTTCATTTTCGTCAATTGTTTTTTTTTCACATCAACATTTTCTACAGGTTGCCATGGATTGTCAGCAAAATGGTTTTTCCCTTTAGTGCACAGCACCTCATTTCTGGAACAGACCGGTGTATTTGGATATTCTATTCACATGGGCAGAACTCTTAACGGTGACACAAGCATCCAATCAGTGCACAGCAAAGACAATTCCAGTTCAGTCAATGCTGCAAGTCCCCTCACTAACATCTTGAGAGTTGTTTCAAAGGCTGTCCCACAGACTACTTAAGCACACTCCAACAATGTCATATTCATAGAATCATACAGATTTATCAACATACTCCCTGTTTTAAGTACATGATATTAACTTTTACAAATTAGGATAAAGCTCCTTGGGAGTTTGTTCATGTTTAGAGGAGTCTGGAGTGTGCTAATATTTGCAGGAGTCCTAGATGTAAATGTTTGCAAATAATAGGCGACAACAGAACTGAAAATAATTGTATAGACAAAACACAGATTCGTTGATTGTTGTATTGTCTGTTTTTCTCAATAAAGAAATGTAAAGCTGACTTTAAAGGTGAGATTAGAATGATCTTAAAACATGCAAGAAGAATAACACATGCATATTAAAATATCATGGCTAGTTATAGGTGGAAAGATACATTCAATAGTAGCTGAGATCTCTCCAATATACTGTAACAAAGAATGATAGGATGTCGTTTTCCTACTGTGATTGTCACATGCCTGGTTCTCAATTTTAACTTAAGTGAATCAATGGTGAGCACTTCTCTACAGGGCTGCAGGAAAGAACAACAGTGCATCACCAAAATATTCTCAGATACAGTCCCAAAGCAAATCAAAATTATTGGTGAATTTCTTACAGTAGATAATTTTCCTGGCTACACTTGGATTAATTGTTTAGTATGGAAGACCATTAATTGAGGCAGGAAATTAAAGAAGCATAGAGCCATAAAGATATACAGCACGGAAACAGAACCTTTGGTCCAAATTGTCCATGCCAACCAGATATCCTATATAAATCTAATCCTATTTGCCAGCATTTATCCCATATCCCCCTAAACCCTTCCTATTCATATAGCCATTCAGATGCCTTTTAAATGTTGTAATCATACCAGCCTCCACCACTTTCTCTGGCACCTCACTCTGAAGAAGTTGGCCCTTGGGTCTCTTTCATATCTTTCCCCTCTCACCTCAAACCTATGCCCTCTGGTTTTGGACTCCTCCACCCCAGGGAAAAGACCCATGCTTCTAATGATTTTATAAATCTTTATAAGATCACCCCACAGCCTCCAATGCTCCAGGGAAAATAGTCCCAGTCTATTCAGCCTCTCTCTACAGCTCGAACCCTCCAAACCTGGCCACATCCCCGTAAATCTTTTCTGAACCTTTCTAGGTTCACAACATCCTTCATAAAGGAGGGAGACCAGAATTGCATGCAATACTCCAAAGTGGCTGAACCAATGTTCTGTACAGCCGCAACATGACCTCCTATATCCTATACTCAATGCACTGACCACTACAGACAAGCATACCAAATGCCTTCTTCACTACCCTGTCTTGCTGTGACTCCACTTTCAAGGAACTACGAACCTGCACTCCAAGGTCTCTTTGTTCAGCAACAGGACCTTACCATTCAGTGTATAAGTCCTGCCCTGATTTACCCTACCAAAATGCAGCACCTCACACTTATCTAAACTAAACTCCATCTGCTACTCCTTGATCCATCTGTCCATCTGATCAAGGTCCTGTTGTACTCTGAGGTAACTTCCTGGCTGTCTACTACACCTCCAATTTTAGTGTCCTCTGCAAACTTACTAACCATACCTCTTATGTTCACATCTGAATCATTTATATAAATGACATAAAGCAGTGACCCAGCACAGATCCTTGTGGCACAGCACTGGTCACAGGCCTCCAGTCTGAAAAGCAACCCTCCACCAACACCCTCTGTCTTCTCCCTTTGAGCCAGTTCTGTATCCAAATATCTAGTTCTCCTTGTTGCATTGTTTTAGAACTTTGGGGGGAGAAAACATAATAATAAGGAAATAAATGTAAAATAAATCACACAAATTAATAGAATGCATCAAGCATGATTAACAGTCCAAAATGATTCTCCATGAGCAAAGTGTACCTGCTGTAGCTCGGGTTGAATTTTCTGTAATATTCCTCTTCATGGTTTGATCCCAGTATCACTTCACTAATATTAGCAACCTACAAGTTGTAAATAATTGAATTGTTAGAAGTTATAAATAAAAATGTTAATGTCATCAAATTTAACACACAGTTACCTCTGATTATCTCTAAATTGTAAAAATGCGGTCAAAGATCAAATTTCTTTAACAACACTGATGAAACCCAGATATTGTTTGAGTAACAAAATCTGACAGGAATTGTTTGTATCTGGAAAAAAAACCAAAGATTCAAACATATCAAAGTTCTCTTTATATATGTTACCCTTCTAATAATATTAATTATTAATGGTTATGTATTTTCTTAACCTATGGCAAATGGTTTTAACCTATACTATTACCCATAAGAAAATTCTACCAATAAAAAATAGCACCAGAGAGTTATACAGTAACTGCTGCGACCTAAGCATTTTGTAACCAGTTAATGTTTCGGGGCTATAAGTCACACCATTCTGTCTGTCACTGCTGGGACCATAGGGACATAACACGGGAATCACAGTGTCAGCACTGTTCACTGATCATGAGTCACACTGAAACGTACGCTGTGGAATTCCGAGTCCAGATCACACAGTCCTCTTTGAAATCAGCTAAGACAGTTAATAACCCTTCAGTTTAAGAGGTTACAAAATGAAGTCTCCATCATTTTTTGGCTATTTTTAGTCTGCACTCTGTATTCCTGCCAGACATGAATACGAAATTAATGGAGAGAAACAAAATCTACTTAATGATGAAGTTACTTTTGAAATAGCTGATATTTCAGTAACACCATAAAGTGAAGAAACCTCCCTGCCCAACCACCATCATTTTGAGTAGCTCAACTTGAACTAAAGGGTGATTCGCTATTATCAGGTACAGTGGAGTTGGAGTAATCTCCTATACCACTAATTTCTGGAAGATGACATTGTGATCCTGGAAGCAGCGCATGCTGACTTCTTGCCTCTTGCTGTACCCTAAAGAGACAGCTTCACAGTGAAACTTTGGAGCTAGATGGTCAATTGTTCTGGCATGGGGTAACAAATTGTATTGAAAACCCAACAGATAAGGTAAACACAAATAAGATATAGGCATATCTTCTGTGTATTTCATCAGTAGTTGTTTAATTCTATTCAATATATACTTTTAAACACTTTGCAACTTAACATCACGAGAGAGGTGGAAATGCACTTTAGAGGGGGAAATGGAGTCTAAAAAGTTGATAAACACTAGAAGAATGGGACCAAATGTGCCCAGATTTGCTGCAAACCTGGAAGCAGTCACAGAAGAAATGAAGTCGGCCACAGAAAATGCTGGAAAGGCTGAGAAACAGTGTGGAGAGGGGTACAAAGGGAGTTAACATCTCCAGAGGGCTGCCTCCGTCCGAGTCAATTTCTGTTACTTCTGAAACCATGGCCCCATTCTGCCTGAAAACAAACTATTTTTATTTACCCTGACAAATGGGCAGACAGCTGGATTTCACCAAGGAGACCGACCTGAACTCGGGAGTGAGCTTAAAATCAACTCGGAACACTTTATAAATCCTGAAGCATATTATTTTATACCTAAAAACTTGTAAGGATATTATGAAATGATAGTTACATATTTATATAATTATTTTATGAATCGGGACTGAAGTGACTCGTGCCGTTCCACACAAAATAAACATGGCGCCCAAAGCCGCGCCGCGCGACTAAAGCGCGGGAACCAGGCGTTGCCGGCAACGTGATGACGTTAAATGCGTCGTGCGTGGGAACGTCAGTGTGTATGACGTTAGTTAACAGCTGTTTGGATGGATTCTATAAAGGTTCTGGGTGACACTCTTCTGGTACAGTGGTCCCTACTCTTAGATCGTGAGGTCTGGTTTCAAGCCCCACCAGCTCCAGCGGTGTGTAGTAATAACAGCTTAACAAAGGTATTAGGTCATTTGTGGCTCAGTGGGTGTAACACTTGTTTCTGGATCATAAGGTTTCCAGTTCAAATCCTACTCCAGCAACTTGTAGTAACAAACCTGTGCTGTTAGAGGGTTCACTTTTTCTGCAGTTATGTTTGTGTGGGGGTGTCCTTGCAGAGGGAGCACATAGTCTCCACCAGTACTCTTGATGCCTTTAGAGAGAGGTCGACATCACAGGGGGTGAAATGCTTTTCCTCTCCTTCCAACTCAATTTGATTTAGGTCCCTACCATCTCTCTCATCTTTGCTGGTTTGTGTTGCCCTTAACAGGCTTTGCACAAACTATTCAATTGGAAACACAGGTGATTTACTGGTGGTGGTTCATAGAGAAAAACAATACCCCATGGGTGATTTGATGATGGTACAAAAAAATGTTCAGCTGTGGATAAGAGCACTTCTAGATATAAAAAGAAATTTAAAATTAAAGTTAATGGGATTAGGGTGTTCTTGCTGGATGCTGCTAAATGCTCTCTTCTGAGACCATTGGTTTTTAAAACTTGATAATCAACTCGATCACTGAATGGAATAACAAAGAAAAAAGCCATTTTTTATGTATTCATACCAGAATGTTGGCATTGCTGGCCATATTATTGTCCATCCCTGATTGCCCAGAGGGCAGTTGAGGGTCAACCACATCACTGTGATTCTGGAGCTACATGTAGGCCAGACCAGGTCAGCATGGCAGATTGCCTTTCCTAAAGGACATTGATGAGCCAGACGAGTTTCTCCGATAATCAGTAATAATTTCATGATCATTAAAAACCTGGGACCCACGGACATTACCTGAGTCGCTGGTTTAATAGTGCCACTATCTAAAAACAAATACTCAACAGGAAAGAGAGAAGGTGAGGTTTCAGATATAATTCTTCCAGCTGTGCTATACACTTTTAAGCTAGAGGTATGACAAGTTGGTGTTCTGGTGTGGCTTCTGTCATGTACTGTGTTTAACAAATGCTCAAACTTGTGATTTTCCTGACAATGTAAGTTCCTAATCTCTAGCTCTGACCACTGAGGAGGAGGCCAAGTAGCAAAGTAGATGCTTTTTAATCAACTTGTTCAGAGACATTGTCATACACCTCTGGAGCAAGTGGGACTTGAACAGATGGCTCCTAATCCAGAGGTAGTTGCACCATCACTGCACCACAACAGCCCCTGCAGCAAAAAAATTGCCTGAAAAATTGAAGGTTGTAACAACCAGCTAGTGGTGGCAGTAAAATTTGATTCAGTGAGGGGATAAAAACAGGTTTTAAAGGAGTGACAGTTAATACACAAATCTTACACTTTGGACCAAACCCAATTGTCTGCAAGTCTGGGAAAAAATGTACATAAAAACTGCCAGTTTTTAACTTTTGCCTACAACATAAAACTACTAAGAAGTTAGCACTAAATGTGGATATTACTCAGTAGTTGGTGCGGGAAATAAAAGTGGTAGACAGGTGATTTTTTTTAACTTTTCATCTAAGGACTATTGATGAAGCTGATTAGAATAAACTTTATGTTACCGTTCCCTATTCTGTTGTTCATCCGTGACTGTTTGAGGCTGATAATGATTTTCTGAAAATTAATATTTCTAATATTCCCCAGCACTAACATCCATCACTTTGATGAGCGCAAAGGTTCACCAATTTAAAAGAAAATCACAATTATTCAACAAGAGGCAGCTTCAGAGCAGTTCAGAACAGTTGCTAACAGAACAGAACAATTCAATTGCCTGTCAGCTTTGATATAAATCAGAAAAAATGTCAAGGTTCCAGATGGCTGGATTGGAGATGAGTATTCTGCTAACCCTTTAAATAGTAATATTCATTCCATTAACTCATTTACAAGTCAGAAAAATTCAAACAGCAATGAAATACACGTCAAAATTTTGTTAGTGGCATTCATTTGAATTCACTAAATGCAGTCAAAAATGGAGCAAAAAGTTACTAGGTCTATAAAGGTATTATTAAAATGACCACAAGATGGAAGCAAAAAAAACCCTCAACAGTTGAATTGTGCTCAGCATCCAATTTAATGTTTGAAATAACCAATATTGGGGATGGAATATCTTATAGTAAGAATCCATTCAATAAAACAGCCTCATAAATACCACTGCTGAGTCAGGCATCATCTTAAAATGGCAAGGCCAGTTTGAAGTGTGCCAAAGTGAAGGAGATCAAGCCCTTAGAAGTGCAATCTCAGCATGGCTAGGCATTTTAGAAAGACTGTAATGTTTAAACTTTTAGCTTTATTTCTTTATTTTTCTACTTATAACTGAGAAGGTCTGTAATGTTTAACTTTTAACTTTAATTCTTCATTTTTTATACTATACTAAGAATGACTGTAATGTTTAACTTTTGTTCTTTATTTCTTTCTACTTTGTTCTTAAGAATTTGTACCTACGTACTTGTACTGTGTGTGGCAACATTGCACACTTTTCACTGTACTCCTGTACCTTTGCACTTGAGTACACATGACAATAAAGTCTAAATCTAAATGTAAAGCTTAGCTTCTTATGCTTTTAGCTTCAACGCAAAAGACAGAAACAATCTGTTCAGTGAAATAGCAGCCGGATTAAAATAAATTATGTTATGATTCTCGTTAATACCAAGGTGTACAAAATGACTCACTAAGGAATCCCATTATAAGTGCATCTCTATCATTAACTTGACAGTTTTGATTCCAAAGGCACTCAGGAGGGATTAATATTAATAAAAAGTCAGCCTCAAGTGAGTAATAGCAAGGGACTCAATGTAGTCTAACAAAATTTAGATTGTGTTAAATGGCAAGGCTCTGGGTTCTATAATTATATATTAGTAATACAGCAACATAGAAAGTAGGAGCAGGAGTGGGCCATTCAGCCCTCAAGCCTCCTTCACCATTCAATATGATCATGACTGATCATCCAACTCAGTAGCCTGTTCCCGCCTTTTCCCCATACCCTTTGAATACTTTAGTCCTGAGACCTATATGTAACTCCTTGAAAACATTAAATGTTTTGGCCTCAACTGCTTTCTGTAGCAGTGAATTCCACAACCTTACCTGTCTCTGAGTGAAGAAATTTCTCCATATTTCAGTCCTAAATGGCACAGCCCATATCCTTAAACTGTGACCCCTGGTTCTGGACTCCACAATGACTGGGAACATCCTTCCTGCATTTACCCTGTCCAGTCTTGTTAGAATTTTATAGGTTTTTTATGAGATCCCTGCTAATTCTTCTAAACTCCCAACGAATATAGTCCTAACCAATCCAGTCTGTCTTCATATTGTCAATCCTGCCATCCCAGGAATCAGTCTGGTAATCCTTTGTTGTACACCTTCCATAACAAGAACATCCTTCCTCAGATAAGGAAACCAAAACTATACACAATATTCCAGGTGTGGTCTCACCAAGACCTTGTACTGTTGGCAACCATACTCCTGTATTCAAATGTAGAAGCAAATTACTGCAGATGCTAGAATCTGTACTGAAAACAAAAACTGCTAGAAATCACAGCAGGTCAGACAGCATTCAATAGAGAACAGCAAGTTAACATTTCGCATCTAGATGACTCTTCATCAGAGCTGCTCTGTACTGAATTGTAGTACTGTAATATAAAATATTCTGATTTTTATTTTAGTTGATACCACAAAATCAGCAGTCTTCAGGAGAACAATGGAGGTATGATGGATTATAGGATATTCCGATGTGATGTTCCACACAGCAGGTTTGTAACTGCATTGTAAACCACTTCACAAGAGCGGTTGTGTTGTTATGGGAAGTTAGCTAAAAGTAACATTGTAAAATTATTGATAAAGGGCCTCATTTATCCTTTGGTCCAAGGAAGGTGATCAGAAAAATAAAATAGGAAAGAAATTAGGGCAAATACAAACAACACACATGATAAAACCTCTACCTCTACAAAAATAGTGGCAATGAGAAAGGGTGAACAATCACCCCGTGTACTGAATAAGTTATGTTTTGCATGTATTCTATTTTTTGCAAAGATGTTGACAGTTTCAAACTGTTACTGTGCTATCAGAAACACACTGTATTGCTACCAGCTGCAAAACTATGGTAGAATGGGGGTGAGCCTACACATCTAATAGCACGCTAATTTGAACATTTTGTGGATGAGTGTAGAAATCTAAGACAATTAAACAGCAACTTATATAAGACCATAAGACAGAGGAGCAGAAATTAGGCCATTCAGTCCATCGAGTCTGCTCCGCCATTCAATTATGTCTGATAAGTTTCTCAACCCCATTCTCCCCGATTTCTCCCTGTAACCCTTGATCCCCTTGACAATCAAGAACCTATCTATCTCCATCTTAAATATACTCAATGACCTGGCCTCCACATCCCTCTATGGTAATGAATTCCATAGATTCACCACTCTCTGGCTGAAGAAGTTCCTCTTTATCTATGTTCTAAAAGGTCTTCCCTTTACTCTAAGGCTGTGCCCTCAGGTCCTATTCTGTCCTACCAATGGAAACATCTTCCCAACATCCACTCTGTCTGGGCCATTCAGTATTTGTAAGTTTCAATTAGATGCCCCCTCATCCTTCTAAACTCCATTGAGTATAGACCCAGCATCCTCAACATTCCTCATATGTTAATCTTTTCATTCCTGGGTCCATGCTAGTGAACCTGCTCGAGGGCCAGTACATCTGTCCTGAGATATGGGACCAAAACTGCGCACAATACTCCAAATGTGGCCTGACCAGAGCTTTATAGAGCTTCAACAACAGAGTTCAGAAAAGATTTACCAGGATGTTGCTGGGAATGGAAGTTTTAACTTATACAAATAGATTGGATAGGCTGGGACGTAGAGAGTGGGACGTTGAGGGTTGACCTTATTGGAGGTTTATAAAATAATGAGGGGCATAGATAAGGTGAATAGCAAGGATCTTTTCCCTAGAGTGGGAGAATTCTTAACTAGGGGGCACATTTTTAAGGTGAGAGGAAAAAGATTTAAAAAGGACACGAGGGACAAATTTTTTACACAGAGAGTGGCTCTTATGTGGAATGAACTGCCAGAGAAAGTAGTGAGTGCAGGTACAGTTATAAATTTAAAAGACATTCGGAGAAGTACATGAATAGGAAAGCTTTGGAGGGATGTGTACCAGGAGCAGGCAGGTGGGACTAGTTTGGTTTGGGAACATGATCAACATGGACTAGTTGGACCGAAGTGTCTGTTTCCATGCTGTATGACTATGACTCTATAACAACATGAACCAGTCAAACATATCCAACAGAGTGATACATGGAGTTTGTTGGACTCTCCTTAAAAAATAATTCTTTTGCAGCCTGAACGCAGGTGTGAAATTATCACATTGCCTGTTCAAGACATTCCACACTTACCCCTTTATGTCTTTCTAAATATTGTGGTGGCTAGGGAGACCATGTAGCCAATGCACTCCAACATTGTACTAGTACTACTCTGGAATCTCCCATGAGATTTTAACTACCATAGGCTGGGGGGTGATGGGGGGGCAGGGGTGGGGATTTTCTCATTTAGAAGTAACACCTGACTCTACTCAGCGCCTCTTGCCAGCCTTAAGTAATCCTAGAGCACTCAACTGAATATCATTCCTTCAACACAGCTGCTATTTGGAGGTTTAAAACAAAATACTGTTTTTCTCTTCTGAAAGTGAAAATAGCATCGAAAGATCCTACAAAAATGAAAAATATAATCTGGATAGAAATGCTACAGATATAGCACTGCAAAGCTTTTGAGGCAAATACATAGTTCAAGTTAAACAGCAAACAATTGATTGCCTATTGATAAGTCTGTTAAGCAAGGGGGTAATCCAGACGTTATTTGTATGTAATTGATATCTGCGTTGATCCTTGGCCAAATTGCTAATTTAACTGACTCAACCAAAAAATCTTACACAATCTTTCAACTAACTGGCTTGTCAGCCTCCAGAATCAATAACTGCAAACCAATCAATGCATATACTTAGTTTTACTTTTTATTTGTTTTCTCCATTTTCCATTTTTTACACTTTCCACAAATCTACATGCTTGCCTCAGTCAAGTGGAAAGACTGCAACCAATGCCTCTTTACAGGCATTTATCAAACATGATTTTTTGGCATGTCCTGTGAGAAACCCATTCAAAGGATCCTATGTTTTGCCAGAAATTATCTGGTACTTTACCTAGTATCAGATACACAATGGGGCTTCAAAATGGTTCAGGACAATTTCATGGGTTGTACCATTCTAATGCAGTGCTTATCTTTCCAACTCTACAAAACTCTACTTAGGCCCACACAATACCAGCTTAATTGCTCTGAAACAAATACATGCTTCCATATCTTTGGCATGAACCTAGAATCATAACACTTTCCAAACCCATGACTTCCACCACCTAGAAAGACAAGGGCAGCACAAGCATGAGAAGACAAGTGACTGCGTACCACTCCCACCACCACCACCAAAGCCAAACATCATCCTAAATTGGAACTACAGTGCCATTCCTTCACTGTCACTGAAACAAAATTCTGGAACTCCCTTCCTAACTGTACTGGCGGTCTATTGTGGACTGTAGCATTCAGGAAGAGATTCATCATTACCTTCTCAGAGGCCATTAGGGATGGGCAATAAATTCTAACTTCACAGCGACGCTCCCAAGAATAAGTAAAAAAAAAATTATGGCTTGATGTCGGTCCAAAGCCCATTGTGCCAGTACCATCCCTTTGAAGGAGCTATCCAATTAATTAATAGTAATTGCCTCTCCTGTTGCCAAAGCACTACAAAAAAACGTAGAGTCCAACAAAAGCTATAAATATAATGAAGGGGTTTCTGAATTAAACTAGGGGCACCAAGTTCAAAGTCAAGGATTCTTTTGAATAAGACATTGATTGAATAAGTGACATGAACCATGCGCAATTTCCTGCACCTTATAAAAAAGATTTTGGAGCCAACAAAACGGTTTCAATACAATCAAGAGGATAAAAATTTTGTTCCACATTTTGCAGTCAGCATCTAACTGATGACACTTTCCATTAAGTTCCAAGGGAGCTGTCCACAAAGATCAACCTTTCCCTCTATCATGGATTTCATCTTTCATGGTTATTGTGGTACTGATACCATGTTCAAAAGGTTCTCCAGGCTTCCAACAACAATAACATCACTAAGCAGGCTCAGCAGCCTTCAAGTATTCATCCAAATCTCTGGGAGTTGTTATTGAGTTGCTCCCACAATTCTTTCAGATAGTGCATTTTGGATCGTAATATCATGCAGTGTAAAAAAAAGGTCTCATTTTACCTCTAGTTTGTTTACAAATTTCCTTAAATCTATGTCCTCTGGTTACTGACCCCCTTGCCACGATATTTACTTTATCAAAACCCCTTCTGATTTTGAACACTTCTGTTGCATCTTCACTTTACCTTCTTTGCTATATTCTTTTATTCCATGATATGTGGCCACTCCAGTGGACACCACCATCCAACATGAAACATTAATTTGCTGTTTCTAGCATATATTAGTTCGGAACATGAAAGAAAACAGATTGGGTTGTGTCATGATTGTAACAAGGTCAACCAGTTGGACCTCATAGAATATGAGTTCCCTGATTGGAGCTGTTTACCTGATCCAATTGGGGAGCCCTGACAGACAGATATAAGCAAGGGTGTCAGAGGTTCTGATCACGCTGAGAGCTGGCTTTGAGGAAGCCGGACTAGTGTCAAATACTATGCGTATGGAAATAAAGGGTGACTTTGTGATGGAATACCGCCTATGTGGAGTTGTTTCAGGTTGGTATGTTTGTGTTTTTCTGTGTGGTTTATAGCGGAGAAGTATGCTTTAGAGCTGTAAGAAGTAATTAAATAAACCGTAGACTGCAGTACAATAAACATGAATTAGGCAGTTGGTTACATTAGGAATAAGCATTAATATCGCATATAGAGTGCCATGGAACAGTTGGGATCAGCTTCTGCTTCCATTATAGTGTCAGGTGGTCATACTGGAAGGACAATAAAAACTCCTCAAAGCCACCACATGGTTCCCACTCATCTCCTTCAAGCCAGTTGAGGATCCGCATTGACAGAGGTTTGGGAACAGATCCTACCCACCATACAAATGGAGGACCAAGCAGCACAAATATGTCAATTTTTAAAACCAAGTTTGGAAGCCGACAAAAGCAAGACAAAGGGTTTTCTGAATTAAACTAGCGCTGCCAAGTATGAAATCAGAAATCAATTTGAAATAAGACATTGAATAGGCAACGTAAATTGGGGTGCAACTTTTCACACCTTGTTGCAAGAAGGATTTCAGAACCATGAAAATTATGTTACATAGATTCAATATGATTCAGAGGATATCCATTTTGCCCCAGATGTTGCAGTCAGCAGCTAACTGATGACATTTGCCATGGACCACCAAGAAAGCTGTCCACAAAGATCCATGTATATCTCTTGCTCTTCAGGGGGTTGGTGCAGACTCACTGGGCCAAATGGCCTCTTTCTGCACTGTAGGGATTCTATGATCTCATAGTTATTTTGATTCTGACGGCAAGTTCAAAGGTTCTCCAAGCATCCAACAACAATGACATCACAAAGCAGGCTCAACAGCTAATCACAATGAAGAATTCTCACAGACAGCAAACAAGGCAGTAAAATGCACTGATTACAGAAATTTTCCAAGGAAAAATAAAATCTGTGACATACACCTGGGAATAAGGCATATGCTGAAATGGCACAAACAAACTTCTTTAAAAACTACCTTATAATTAAAATCTTTGGACACATTATCAAAATGAGTAATTTGACATTCCACAAATTTGAAAATGTAATTCAGGAGCAGAGAATTTGTTCCAAACAAAGCGTGCCCGTTAAAAACTGAGCTATCCTTCAGTCACAAGACATAAACTTTTCAGAGATTGTTTTTTCACTGCAATACTGTTATAAACTATAAAAGAGGAAGTTCACACCCATTCAAATGATCTTTAAAGATGAGCTGTGGGATCTTCAGGAGCGCATACTGTGGAGGAGGAGGGAATCACAGACAGTAACTTTTGGATTTCTGTATTTAAACAGAAGCAGGTGCCAGATGTTGCTGTCAGTTTCACAGCTGATGACAGACATGGACAACTGCAAAATCCAACCATTGTTGGATATTTAACCAGGCACAATGAAGGAACTAAGGGGTTTCTGCTTTTATCAACACACGTAAGAGCTACAAATAGAACATTTCAAAACTAGGAATAAATTCACAGGAGTAGGGAAGACTCAAAGTGTTCAAATTTTGATTGGGTTTGGTGGTTAAATAATGAAAGATTGTTTCCACTGTTTACTGAATTGATAGGAAGACAGTATACACTGCAGTTTAGTGCTGGTATTATAAAAGGCTAAGCAAGAAAAGGTTTTTCTCACAGGTATTAACATAATGTGGAACGAATATTCAGAATTCAAGCATGACATCAGATTTATACCCCAAAAAGATCTTTTAAAAAGAGTATAGGAAAACCACTTAGACTGAATTAAATCATTTCAATGTTGAACACAGCACTGGCAGAGGCACAGTAGGCTGAATATTCTCCTTCTCTATTGAGAGTTTTATGATCTCAGTAAGACAGCAGTGCACGGAAAAGGAGAATGTGATAGAAAGCACATGTAATGATTAGAATAACAATACAAGTCACCAATTAAGGCACTGAATTGCACTTTAATTTTCTATCTCAGAGACCAGGAATCAATCCAGACACTGATAGGATGGATGTATATCTATGTCATCTGTAATAGTCCTATATAAAATTATTCTGTACAAGTTCAATTCAGTCTCAATTCCTACTATGGCTAAAAAAGTGACTAATGTAGCACATGTTCTGGATTCAAGATGGCGGTGGCTCCTGTGCCTGGGCTTGTCCTCTTCATCCACTTTTCCCTGTTTCTTTTACCTGTTTTCCCTTTCTTCGTTTCTCAGTTTTATTTAGTTCTCGCTCAAACTTACCAGATAAAGAGAGCTCTTTGGTAGGAAAGCAGCTTCGATGGGTTCCAGAGTGACAGTACGACTATTCGAGTCGGTCGGCCTGTGAAGCCTGGAATGGGACTCTCGCTCCTGCATGGAGTGGGCCTCTGGCAGCAGAATGGCATGGGCTGGTGAAGCCTGAAGCGGGACTGGAAGCAGCAGAGAAGGAAAAGTTGGACTCTCTTTAAGTTATCTTTCGTTTTCTAATTTTAAGTTCATGAGAATGGCGCCTATGTATGTCAACGGTATACACTTTTCACTGCATTTTATTCTGAAGACGTGATGATAAATGAATCAAATTCGAATTCAAAATTCACATAAAAATAGATAAATTTATTATTAAAAAGATAAGCAGGAAAATGAAACATCAAGCTAGTGTGGGATTCTTTTCAGATTGGGATCAGGTAATTTTAGACAAAGAGAATAAAGGCAATTTGAGCTACATCGAAGAGTTGATATGTTGACTTCCTGTGAAGAACCTTGCTCACCAGTAACACACATCAGAAATATAATCTGGCAATGAGGGCTGTCAATAAGAAGGAACTACCAATTTTAAATTTTCACTGAAGACATAACAATGGGGAAAAAGTTCTTCACTTAAAGATTGGGTCTGTGCAGGATGCTCTTCGGAGGGTCACTGTGGACTCGATGGGCCAAATGGCCTGCTCCTACACTGTATGGATTATATAACCCAATAATAATCTGTATTGATTGGCACATCCTTTGTCACAGTAAGTGATTGTGACAGGTCACATTGTGTGTTCTGATATAAAAATTTGATAAGCAAATAAACAGATGAAGTTGCTAACCTATGGGACAGGAGCACGGCAATAATATTCATTTTGGATTGCTGTAGCAAAAAGGTGGCTAAACCAGAATCGGCCAAATTCTCAACATCTTTTTGTGCATCTACTACTGATCTGTTATACTACGACTATACCACTAGTGCATTCAGATGCTTATTTTTTGTAATCACAAAGAATGCTGTATTTGTTTACTTGAAGTTAACCACTCTACTCAGCAAATATGTACTTTGTACTTACGGCTTACATATCAGATACCATTGAGTTATCTAGCCTTGTCACTTATTGTGCATCATTTACTCACTATCAAACAATGGAGGTTCCTTTGATGTTTTTGCAATGTTGGTGTATTTAGTCAGACTAAACACAGTCTGAAAGCTATTTTTGCTTAATATGGTGCCTGATTGTCACATTGCTACAATACCAACATTTATACTTTTTTTTCTCTTCAACAGATCTGATCACACCAACCATCCCAATTTTGTGTCTCTGGGTTTCAAAGACAGGCATCAGACTTATAGATTTCATTAAATGTACCACTTGCATTCCTCGGTTTCCCAAGTACACTAATGGCACTCAACTCCACCTCACCACCTTTTTTGATCCTTCCACCATTTCTTATTTGTTATGTCTGTCCAATATCCAGTAGTAGATTTATGTGTGTGCCTCAGTTAATGCAGTTCTACCTGACATAGCAATGCTTATATTATCCCCAATAACACAAGAAACTTTATGTGGTTGTTGTGATATGGACGAATCTAACATATTTATTACAATAAACTGGTATATACATACATTAAATTCCTCAAGCACGTATGTTTCTGGGTTAATATTAAGATATTAGTTTAATATAGAGGAATTTTTTTTTCCAGTTGAGTGTCATGCTTCAAGTGATCCGAGGTAAGATGGAGATCTTGATATTCTCAGGTCAAATGCTATGGTATTCCTTTTTGACCAAGCTTTGCACCATTTATACCTGAGACCAGCTTCTGTGTCTTCATGTCACAGTTTTGACTAATATTGGCCTTGTGAAGAGCCTTGGGTCATTGTGTCACCTGAGTGACCAACAAGGCCAGATTGATTTGGCTTGCCTGCCAGAACTGACCATGACTCAATCCCTGGACGAAATGGTGCAGATTGAACCACACGCATAACTGACCACGGCTAACGCCCTGGACTAGCAACGGCCCAGCCTCTGGACTGACTGCGGCAGTATCCCCCAACTGACTGGAGTTCACCTTCGTTCCACTGAGCACGCTTTCCCTTTCCCACATCACCATGCTTTTCAAGCACACGTGCTGACTGTGTTTTCTGCATTAGCTGCTGTCATATGTACCATTTTTGATGTTGATGCATCATTATGCCATACTGTTACATGTACCAGGCCCCCCGAAACACCTTTCCACATTGACTCTTTGCCGTTTCCTACAGCCACAAGCTGCCTGCCTTACCTTCTGTGTTAAAATGCCATCTGAGAAGTTGGCGCTGCTGCCTGACCACCTGAAAAACCAATGCCACTGGCTGAGCCTGTGTGCTGAAACTAACACTGATGCATTGTCATTGCACAGTTGGGTGGAGAGATATTCCAGTACACCTTGAACCTACACCCATTGTGGCAGTTCCAGCAAAAGTGGAGATGGTGCAATGCCAAGGCATTGTTAAAGCTGGGTACTCATCCAGAATGGAGGCAGAGGGGTAAAGTCACCAGATATGCATTTGGTTTATTCCATTAAACTTCTGAACCATTGACTGAGCAGAAGTAAATTGGGAAGTGGAAGCCTATTCCGGTGAGTTTTGTAATGATGGAGATACAAATGTGTGTATATAGACTTCTCACCACCTGATGTTAAGAAAGTGATCTAAGAAGAGAGGACTTAATTGTGAAAGTTTATCTCAATGGCACACATCTGCTTTTTGGACTCTCACCTGCTTGACTCACTCCATTATTCTCACCAGCTCACGGAGGGGCAAGTCACACCTATAAAATTGGATTATACAACTGCAATTGTCATTAGGACTGGCACATCGTTTATAAAGCCATAGAGTCATACAGTACAGAAACAGGCCCTTCAGCCCAACTCATCCAAACTGACCAGGTTTCCTAAACTGAACTGGTCCAGGATGCCTGTGTTTTGGCCCATATTCCAAAATACTAAATATTTTGGTACTAATGTACCAATGGAACCACGATGTTATAAGACTAGTGTATCAATGAGTACAGAGAAAGAAGTTAAGAGAAAGACAGGTGACAGCTTCAGGCCATTTCCACAAACCCAAACTCCATAGACAACTTCACCTGGAGTTGCTAACCTTAGATTATTGTTTGGAGCTGTGTTGTTTAATGTACAATTCATCATTAGGATTTTTGATTACCACTGGAAAGTATTACTTTTGTCTGCCTCTATAAACATACTGCTTTGTCTATGCTTAGTTTACAACAACAGTCTCATTCCATTATGTGTGAGGTGCCTTACAGCATAACTGAAATTGTTTTTAAAATTAATTCATGGGATTATGGACATCGCTCGCTAGACCAACATTTATTGAGAGCTGATCATTCAAATGATTTATAAGAGTACACATTTTTATGTACCTATTAAGAACCACATAAACAGTTTTGTGAGGAAAATTAGAGCTTATGAAATAAAATGGACAGTGGAAATATGGATACAAAATTGGTTGATTGACAGGAAACAGAGGGGAGTAATGGATGTTTGTTTTTCAGAGTGCAGGAAGCCATTATATCTTCCCTTAGATAAGGGGTCCAAAACTGTTCATAATATCCCAGCTGTGTCTGACTAGTTTTGACAAAACCTCCCTACATTTTCCTCCATTCCCTTTGAAATAAAGGTCAATATTCCATTTCCCTTCCATTTTAATTGCTGAACTTACTCTTCAGATTCAAGGTCAAAATCTCCCAAATCCCTCTGTTGCCTGGCTTTCTATAGATTTTCTCAATTTAAATAATATTCTGCTTCTCTATTTTTCCTGCCAAAGTGAAAAACCTCCCTCATTATAATTCATCCACTTAGTTCCTGCCCACTGATTTACCCTGTCCCTCTGCAAATTCTTTGTGTCATCCTCACTTTGTGACATTGATGTAGCATGGTACCAGACAATTACATGTTTACTCACTGTTCAGTGTTCCTCACTGTGACAAGCTGCCTGCCTCAAAACATAAAGTGAGTAAGTCCTAAGAAATCAAACTGAGACCCATGAGATTCATCGTGTGCCAAAGCACGAAATGGGTGTGTTTTCCTGTGTACAAAGGGACCTGGTAGAAATATACAAATCATACGTTAGCTCCAAAGTAGTGTGAAAGTTGGACTGAGGGCAGGCATAATGCTGTGGTGAGGCTTGTAGTTGGTCAACATCAGCTTATATGGCTGAAGGGTCGAGGAGGATGGTGGTTATGGAGTATATAAGGACATTGTTGTGAAAAAGCAATTTGATGACAGTCGGGGCAAACAATTACTAAACTGCAGTGACAGGTAGATGCTTCGATTTACACACCAGGAACTTATGCCATCAATTTTTTTAGGGAAGGAAAGTAGAATTGGAAGAATATAGTAATTTATGGCTTTAACAAAATCCAAAGGCATGGATAAAGTAATCACTACTCAATGGCAAAATTCTATCCTATGATTTTACTTAAATATTCACTTTTGAAGATGATTTTTGCAATTTTATACTTTTATCTCAACTCAGTGTACCATATTTTCATAGTGTGTAAGGTGTGTATATTCCAAAGGAAACATTAACCTGAAGACACATTGCACTACGACATTGTACAATAATGAATGAATAGTCAAGTTGTTGTGACAATAAACAAATGGGAAGTAGGTCAGTAAAGCTACAGAGGCTTGCCCAGCATTTAGATGTTTGTTGGCCTGAAATTTAATGAATTTTGCTCATTAAGAAAAAAACAAATGACAAAAGCAACTATTGTAATTTCTATGTTGTAACATTTCTCTGTTATGTAAATCATTGTGTTCATTGCGTAAACATGTTATTAAGCAGTTTACTACTGTGTTCCCCATCTGCAACTCTTGTGACTGATAGATATGTGTTTATGCTTGTCAACAATGGGGCAGCAAGTCAGCTGTTGAAATGCAGACTTGCAGCTGATTTCTGAGCTGCCTGGGGATATGAATTATGTGGATCTAAGAAAGAAAAAGAGTTCAAGAGAGTTTGGCAATGTGATGGTCATGTGGTTTGTTAGATATGGATAAACCAATATGTCACTCTTTTAGATTAAAACTTTATCGCATGAAGTTAAAAAAAATTAATTCAAGATTGCAACTCCTGTAATTATAGCCTCAGTTTTCCTCCAATGCTCCTGGAATTACACATAACGATTAGGCCGATACTTGAAAGATTTGTGAATGATCCTAGCCAAATTTAGTTCTTACAACCCGTAGCAAGCCTTCATATTCTTATTCACTGGAGTGGACAGTATCCCTGAAGAAAATCTTTATTTTCATCCAATAAATCCCCCACATTAGGGGAGTGCTCAATAGAGAAGAAATGAGTACCTTTAAAGTTTTCCTTTGTTACCCTCCAACTTCTATCAATGCTAATGTTTGCTTGTTTAAAGGCACGGTGGGGAAAAAAAACTTTACACAGTCAAATTCAACATAATTGACAAACTTGTCAAATAAGCTTTGATATTGGATCTGTAATTTATTTCACACTCCTGTGATATCGACTAAGGTGAGTTGAAGGAGGTATTCCTGTAGTGAGAACTTCAAAATGATGCACTCCTGAAGTGAAAACTTCTCAACCTTGAGAGCAATCCTTCCTACTGTACTCAATAAAGCCACTGATAACCCTTCCCCAAAACAGAGTCACTCTCCCTTCCTTTCCCCTCCCATAAAGCAGGATCTTCCCATGTGGCACTGAAGACACAAATCAGTCTTGCAGTTCTGATTATAACATCATCAATACAACCGAAGTAAATATGGCACAATAGTTCATGTCAATTTCTTTAAAACTTTTTCTTTCATTGCACATGCTGGCAAGGCCAGACCCCTAGATACATTTAAGACATAAACCATAAGAAACAAGGAGAAAGCCGGTCAGCTACTCGAGCCTGCTTCGCTATCCAATAGGATCATGGCTGATTCGACATTCCTCATTTCCACTTTCCTTCCCAGTTTCCCAGTGATTCTCCATTTGATCAAGAATCTATCTCAACCTTAAATATACACAAGGATTCTGCCTCCACAGCTCTCTGTGACAAGGAGTTCCAAAGACTCTCAATATTCTGAGACAAGAAATTTCTCCTCATCTCAGTCTAAGATTGGTGTTCCTTTATTCTGAGGCTATGTTCCCTGGCCCTAGACTCTCCCATGAGGTGAAATATTATCTTAGCATTTACTTAAAACTCTTAAGAATCCTATATGTTTCAATGAGGTCACCTCTCATTCTTCTAAACTCCAATGAGTGAAGTCCCAACCTGTTTAGCCTTTGCTCATAAACAATTCCTCATTACCACGATCATCCTAGTGAATCTTCTCTGAACTGCCCCTTATGAAATGATATATTTCCTTAAATAATGGGACCAAAACTGGTCACAATACTCCAGATGTGGTCTCACTAGCACCTTGTATAGCTGCAGTAAGACTTCCATACTCTTATACTCTAACCCCCTGACACATTCCATTAGCCTTCCTGATTACCTACTGCCCCTATGTCCTAGCTTCCTGTGTTTTGTACACAAGTACCCCCAAGTCCTTTTGTGGTGCAGCTTTCTGCAGTTTTTCTTCCTCTAAATAATACTCATTTCTTTTGTTCTCTCTTGCAAAATGAACAACTTCACATTTTCCCTCATAATATTCCATTTGCCAATTATTTGCCCATTTACTTAACCTATCACTATCTTTCTGTAATCTATTTGTATCCCCTTTGCAACCTGTCTTTCCATTTATTTTTGTGTTGTCTGCAAATTTGACTGCAGTACATTCACTTCCTTCCTCCAAGTCATTTATGTATATATTGTAAATATTTAAGGTCCCAGCATTTACCCCTGTCAAACCCCACTGGTTACAGGTTGCCAACCTGAAAAAGAACCCCTTATCCCCATTTGCTGTTTCCTGCCCATTAGTCAATTCTCTATCCATGCCAAAATACTACCTCCAACACACAGAGTCTTAACCATGAATTAACCTTTTGTGGGGTACCTTGTTGAACACCTTCTGGAAGTTCAAATACTATACATGTACTGGTTCCCCTTTTTTCACTGTGGTTGGGAATTCCTTGAAAAACGGTAATAAATTATTCAGACACAATTTTCCTTTCATGAAGCCATGCTAACTCTATTTAATTAGATTACCATTTTCCAAATGTTGTGCTATTACTTTCTGAGTAATTGATTTCAATACTTTTCCAACAATAGATGTTAGACTAATCAGCCTATAGTTACCTGTTTTTTGCCTCCCTCCCTTTTTGAATGGGGGTGTCACATTGGCAGTTTCCAATCCTCTGGACTTCTCCAATAGGAGGTGTAGGAAAGTGGTGAGCTGCCTTCTTGAATTGCATACTGTCCATGAAGGTTATAGTTTTGTTTTTGGCATTGGATGTCATGGCTTGTCAGGTCAATTCAGAGGGCAGTTAAAAGTCAACCACAGTGTTGTGGGTCTGGAATCATGTCGACTGAGATTTTTCTTCCTAAATGGCTTTGGTGAACTCTTTTGATTATTATGACACTTTATTGTTTGTAATTTTGTCATCACTCACAAATTGATACCAGATTTTTATTTCAGATTCATCGATTGACTGAAGCAAAATTCACCAAACTGCGATGATGCAATTTGAAGGATCATTACGGCTACCCTGTTGTTCAAACCATTAATTTCAAGGCAATTTTAATAGATATAACTTTATTTTCCCAAAAGTATAAAGTGCATTGTAAAAAATATCTCTTCCAGAACATTTCAGAAGGTGCACACAGAATTCAACTTGCCTCATATTCACTGCAAATCAGGGCAAGACTTATACACTTAACAGTAAGGTCCTGGGGAGTGTTGCTGAACAACAACACCTTGGAGTGCAGGTTCATAGTTCCTTGAAAGTGTAGTCGCAGGTAGACAGGATGGTGAAGAAGACACTTGGTATACGTGCCTTTATTGGTCAGTGCATTGAGAATAGGAGGTCGGAGGTCATGTTGCAGCTGAACAGGATATTGGTTAGGCCACGTTTGGAATGTATTCAATTCTTGTCTCCTGTTATAGGCAGGATGTTGTGAAACTGGAAAGGGTTCTGAAAAGATTAACAAGGATGTTGTTAGGGTTGGAGGGTTTGAGCTATGGGAAGAGGCTGAATAGGTTGGGGCTATTTTCCCTGGAGCGTCAGAGGCTGAGGGGTGACCTTACACAAGTTTATAAAATCATGAGGAGCACGGATAGGGTGAATAGCAAAGGTCTTTTCCCTGGAGCAGTGGCGTCCAAAACGAGAGGGCATAGGTTTAAGGTGAGAGGGGAAAGATTTAAAAGAGACCTCAGGGGCAACTTTTTCACAAGGAGTGTGGTGTGTGTATGGAATGAGCTGCCAGAGGAAATGTTGGAGGTTAGTACAATTACAACATTTAAAAGGTATCTGGATGGGTATATGAATAGGAAGGGTTTAGAGGGATATGGGCCAAATGCTGGCAAATGGGACTAGATTAATTTAGTATGTCTAGTCAGCATGGCCAAGTTGGACCTAGGGATCTGTTTCCATGCTGTACAGCTCTATGACTCTATAATCTTTAGGCGCCTCAAAACAACTCTAATAGTCTTAATATACATTGCCATATCCGGCATACAGCACAGGGATAAACTTTAGAAAATTTCATAGGTATCTTCACTGTAAAGTACACTTCTGTCAATCTACACAAACCGAGTATCAGCTTTGGTAATTAGGGCGTTCATCTATCCATATTCATTACCAAGGCGTGTCCAGAAACGCCCAGATTTAATAAGGTCGCTATATCAGTTCAGAACGCCTTACAATTTCCCGACTCTGCCATGACATTAACAGACTCTCACTGATTCGCTGCCTCTGCCGGAATGAGATGCGGTCGACATTTGGCAAGTTAGCCCCCTCACGAAAGCGAGCCAAGTTTCAGTCCCGTCCAAAGTTTTTTTTTCTCCCCAAAAAAAGTGTTCGCCTGGTGAAGAGTTTGTGTGAGCTTCTTTGACACGGGATATGGCTTCCGCTGGTGTAGCCTGCCTGCCTGCAATCCGCAGGATCGCGGTGTTCGGAGGAACTCATGGCAATGAGCTGTCAGGAGTATTTTTAGTCAGGTACTGGCTTAAGGACAGATCGGAGCTCCAGCGCCCTTCCTTAGAGGTACAGCCCTATCTCAGCAATCCCGCCGCTGTGCAGAGATGCACTCGCTATGTGGACTGTGATTTGAACCGAGCTTTCACGGCCGAAAACCTCAGGTAAGAAATGCATCGCCCTGGCCGCAAATTCATCCAGAGTTCTGGCTGGAGCCTAGCAATGAGCTGGAAAGATTGGCTCACAGGTGGCTGCCCTGGTGATATTACCAGGGATGCGTTTACCAGAAAGTAATTCTATCAAGGGCTCCATGCAGCATCGGTATTACAGCCAGTTGTTCGGAACTGACGTGGTATGGCTGCCTTGAAATCAGTCCCAAACATTTGCTACCTTGCAGGATTCCCCCCACCCCCCTCCTCAATATTCCTCACAGTACATGAACGTATCCAGTGTTTGTAACGATAGGGTTGAAATGGCCAGTGTATTACAGTGCTGCAATACCAGCTGCATGGACTGGCTGGAAGCAAACACGAACTTGCAGATGTTGGTGCAGTTTGCTGACTGACAATTGTTTACCAGTTCCGGGGACTGGAAGCAATAACTAGGACATGACTGGTTCACTCTCTCTTCACATTTACTCTCTGAAACTTGAAACATAAGATGGGAAAGCGTGACCAACTCACACTAGACTTTGATGAAGTTTCTGGTGAAGGGTCATTGCTTTCTCTCTCCACAGATGCTGCTGGACCTGCTGAGTTTCTCCAGCAATTTCAGTTTTTGTTTCAGATTTCCAGCGTCTGCATTTCTTTGTTTTATGTTATGATCATGTTACACTTGGCCATCTGTGCAGCCATCTGTAACTGTCCAATAAAGATGGACTGCGGCCAGTCATTGGTGAGAATATGTCACAAGAGCTTTTGGAAAATCCTTCACGTTGAGGTTATTTAGAATCATAGAATCCCTACAGTGTGGAAGCAGGCCATTCGGTCCATCGAGTCCACACCGACTCTCTACACAGCATCCCAGCTAGATCTACTCCCCCTATCCTGTCTCTGTAACCCTGCATTTCCCATGGCTAATCCACCTGGCCTGCATATCCCTGGACACTGGGGGTAATTTAGCATGGCCAATCCACCTAAACTGCATATCTTTGGACTGTGGGAGGGAACCGGAGGAAACCCATGCAGACATGTGGGAGAATGTGCAAACTCCACACAGTTGCCTGAGGCTGGATGTTGAACCTTGGCATTGTGAGGCAGCAGTGCTAGCCACTGAGCCACCATGCCACCCTAATTTGAGAAAATGGATTGTCTGCCACTAACCATATTTGAAGCACTGTCTGTATACTCTGTTAAAAGTGACTTAAATGGTTGTTTAAAAATAGGATTATTGAAGGGATAGGCAAGGAAAGGAGGAAGGTATAGATGAGGGTAGTTTACATGAGGAGAAACTCTGACAGACTGTTAGGCAAACATAGGTCATTTTCAACATCACTGCAGAATAATAATCCAGCAGGCAGCATTGCCTTACTGTTTTAAATTTCAACAAGAGAGCCTATAAAATGTCCACCTTTATCCTTAACCAAGGATTCCCCAGCACCACTGTCAACAGGGCTCTCAACCGCATCTGATCCATCTCCTGCACTTCTGCCCTGACCCCATCTCTTCCCGCAACAGTAATAGGGTTCCCCTTGTCCTTACCTACTATCCCATCAGCATCCACATCCAGAAGATCATCAGCTGCCATCTCCAGCGAGATGCCATCACCAGACATATAGTCCCCTCTCCTCCTTTGTCCGCCTTCTGTAGGGACCGTTCCCTCCAGGACATCCTAGTCCACTCTTCCTTCACTCGCAACAACCCCCCCACAGCCCCACAGCACCTTCCCCTGCAACCACCAATGGTGTAATACCTGCCCTTTTACCTCCTCCCTCCTCAGTATCCAAGGGCCCAAACATACCTTCGAGATGAAGCAGCACTTCAGCTGCATTTCACACAATCTAGTCTACTGCATTTGCTGCTCACAATGTGGTCTCCTCTACGTTGGGGAAATGAAACATAGACTGGGTGATCGCTTTGCAGAACATCTACATTCTGCTCGCAAAAAAGACCCTGAGTTTCCAGTTGCCTGCCACTTTAACGCACCACCCTGTTGAACTAATAATTTCCTAGACATCATCAGTTCTGAGGAAGGGTCACTGGACCCAAAACATTAACTCTGATTTCTCTTCACAAATGCTGCCCAACCTGCTAAGCTTTTCTAGCAACTTCTGTTTTTGTTTCTGATTTACAGCATCTGCAGTTCTTTTGTTTTTTGTTTAGTTGTTAAATCGAAACTGTTTCCCTAGACCACAGACTTGAATTAGTAAGCATGGTTCCAAGTTAAAAGTTTGGTGATCTAGATGAGTATCTTCCCTCTGAGGCCTGTGAATCTTGGGAATTCTCTACCCAAAAGCTTGGGGATTATTGTTTGTTGAGTATGTTCAGGCCTGAGATCACTAGATCTTTGGACTGAAAGGGAATCCAGGGATATGGATATCAGACCAGAAAGTAGATTTGAGGTCAAAGATATACTATGATCTTATTAAATAGTGAGGCAGGCTCAAGGACCCATATGACCTACTCCTACTCCTATGTCTTACGTGGTCAGAGCATTGTTATTTTTCCTGCATCCGGTGGTGCTAATGCCTTCCTGTATTCCATTAGCAATTACAACTTAATGACTGTGGCTTCACTGATCGATAACCCAAAACTATCCTTATGGTCATGAGTTTGAAAGTTAGGTATGCCATTGAATATGTAAAAGATAAAAATGTTAAATATTACATTTGAAAGCTAAGCTTTGCCATATACCCAAAGCCCTAGAGCCTATTGGTCGGAAGTGAAAGACTTAAATCTCTTTGAGTTTTGAAGAAAACCAGGATGGAATCTGTGAGATATCAGTGACTAACATGAAGGGATCGCTGCACATTCACAAGGTTCCACGTATTTGGATGCAAGCAATCATGCTATCAATTTTCAAAAAGGGCAATAAATCCAAGTAACTACCGGCCCAGTAGTGAACACTAATACTAAGCAAAAAAAAGCCATTCTACCTAGCATTAACTTAATTCAAAACACCCAGTGTGGAGATAGAAGGAGAATATCCTGTCTTTGATTACTTTGTGATTGCGACAGATAAGGTAGTGGGAATCTCGGACATGTTCTTTTTGGACTGTCAAGTAACTTTGACAATTGTGATGGTACTATGGCTTAAAGATGTGTATTTGTCCTTTTTTTTTGAAAAGAGACTTTAAGGCAGAGGTGACACGTTGTCTATTGCAAGTCCATAAAGTAGACAGCTTATGAGGCCTTGGGTTTTTAAAAAATGTTGCAACAATAAAAGCAGCCTGAATGGGTGGGGTCAAGCTTCTCCAGAACCAGGGTTTTTAGTTTTAGTTTTTAAGTAGCATCAGTTGCTGGAGTCTTGAAGCTGGCTTTGGAAGCTGTAGAACATTTCTCCCTGCTATTCTCTCTCCCAGAGTTTTCTCTCGATGATTTTCCTCCTGGACTGGAGAATTGCCTGTGAGACAATCTATTTTACTGAATTTTGCCAAGAGTGTGTTTATAGGATGTTACTACATTGGAACAGTTACTGTTTAGTTGTTAAATAAAATATTATCTGGTTAAATTTTCCAACAGAGTTAGTTATTCCGATTTATTCTTTCATTTGTTGTATTTTGACTGTAGTGTATGATTAAAGTGTATTTTGCTTCAAATCTGGTAGTTTGACCAATTGAATGGCATCTGGAACGTAAACCTGACACTTACCTTTAAGTAAGAAACTGTTATGGTCTAGGCCATCCTCTTAATATATTTTGAGGGTGTTTGGTCTGGTCCATAAGAAATTGGGGGCTCTTGCCGGGATCAAAATCTCTAATTCCAGGTTGGCTTCAGGATTGTTGGACTCAAAGGTAGTGAATGGTGAGTGTTGGTGTCTTTTATTTCGGGTGTTGCATTCATTTGGTTTAAAAAGGGTGTGCCTTGTGTAATGATGGCTCTTTCAGTCAGTGAGAGTTTCCTGGGGAGTGGAAGGAGTCACTTCAGATGCTTTAGAGAAAGTTAGGAAGACAAAGCCTTTGGAGTTGCCAGATCAGCTGGAGTTGGGGTTGCCTGTGTCTATGAGGAAAGGGGAAGTAATTGTGTCCGTCTCGCGCAGCATTTACAATTGCCAGGAATGTAATCAGAATCATTGGGAATGGCTAAAATTCAATTGAAAATGAAGCAGCTTGAATTAGAGGCAAAAACTAAAGAAAGAGTAAAGGAAATGAAACAGTTCGAATTACAATTAAAAGCAGGACAAAAAGAAAAGTGGAAATGAAGGCCCGCACAGAAGAAGTGGAGAAAGGGAGAGCTTTTGAACTTCAGAGGTTGGAACTGAAAACTCAAAGTTGACTTAAAATGGCAGAGGTAGAGGTGAAAGGTAGGAGTAGTGATGAGGACAGTAATGGAGAGCAATCCCATCATAGCGAAAGGCTTGATGGGAATCTGTTTAAATATACCCAAACATTACCTAAATTCAGTGAGAAGGATGGAGAAGCCTTTTTCATTTCATTTGAGAAAGTGACTAAACAAGTGAAATAGCTGGTGACCATGTGGGTTTAGTTGATCCAAATGAAGTTGATAGATACAGTTGATAGATAGATAGGGTATTTGCATCACTATCAGAGGAGGTATCTGGGGACAAAAACAAAGTTGCTGGAAAAGCTCAGCGGGTCTGGCAGCATCTGTGAAGTTAAAAACAGAGTTAACATTTCGGGTCCGGTGACCCTTCCTCAGAACTGATGGTGGCTGGGAAAATGTCAGTTTATATGCAGAAAATAGGGAGGTGGGTGGGGTAGGGAGTAAACGATAGGATAGAGCCCAAAGAGAGTAAGACAGTTGGACAAAGGAGTTGCTAATGATCAGGCTGGGAGGGTGAATAGTTGTTAATGGGGACTGTTAGTGACTAACTACAGGGGGTATATAATGGCAGGCTATGGGGTAACAAAGCCTGGTGTGTGGGGTGGGGTGGTGGGACAGGGGAGAGTTTAGGCCCTAAAATTATTGAACTCGATATTGAGTCCAGAGGGCTGCAGGGTCCCCAAGCAGAAACTGAGGTGTTGTTCTTCGAGCTTACGTTGAGC